TGCCATTAAAAATTTAGTCGTTTACCTCAAATGTACTTAATTACCAAAACATTGTTCCAAGTTTACTCTGCCTGACGAATATTTTGTATTGCTAAGTCTTTCTTGCGCAGTCGTTATTATTACTTCAGAAAATTCCCCTTAAGTATATAGCAGCACTTAATTAAGTATATAATTAGAAGAAATTCCATATTTGAAGCCAAATTAAAAGGCAACATCATCGAACTAGTTTTAGCGCGTGTTTTTGGATTTTATTGCCCAGAAAACTAGGTTTGCAAAACTGACCAAATAATGGTTGTTTTCTATATTGTAGTACGCAAGATTATTTTGACAGATTATAGACCGTAGCAAAACAAGATGCAGAAAAATCGTATTAATATTGTTACGTATGCAATTTCACCTTCATGCACGTTTGAATGTATGGTCCTTCCTCTCTTTGGACTTCAGTGCGACAGAGTCTTCTTATAAGTAGATACCTAGGTTCGGTTTGAAATTCAGGCTCTTCCTGCAATCGTAGACTTTCAAAGGACTGATCTCAAAGCCGGACACGTCTTTTATTAAGAAAGTCTGACCTATTTAACATAATATATACCCGTGTCAATATTTTTATAAGATATATACCTACATGATTGGATGAAACGTTTCAATGAAACGATGAATAGTTTCTAAAGCAGCGATCAGGTAACAAGGTTTTGTGAAGAGTTTTGTCCTAATGTCTTTTCTTTTCAAAAGAAAACAAAAAAATATATATAGTAGGATTTTAATTTTCAGCCAAATAAATTTTAACCATGCAGGTCTTAGTACGCTGTCTAACTCTGCCATATTTGCTGAGCTTGCTGTTCTAGATATCGGCGATTGTTCAAGCCTATTAATTCTTGTGAATGGAATAGCTCGAACGGTTGCAACTCGAAACAGTTGCATAAAATAATTGGCTAAAAATGTTCTCGATGCGTGTTAATGCAAATCAATGTTTAGGTGTAGTTTAGACGTTGAATTTTCGTCGCGTCGAATAAATTTGAGAAAATAGTAAACGAGATAAGAGCCATTAACATTCATTATCACCTCATTATTATTATCGCATGAATATAAACGCTGCCTTAATTAAATTTGACACAGCGAACATGCGATGCTTAAAGCAGGCCTAAGATGAAACTTAAGTGAATTTTGTATGACATGTTAACATGAACGATAAAACCTACGAATAAGTCAGCCAAGAGGAGAAGCGAAATGAACCCGATTCTCAAAAGTTTCCGAAAATGAATTAATTGTCGGTTGTCGATGACATGACAAAAAATTAACAAATTGCTCGTGGTGTTTCTGCGAATTATTGATTTAAAAATCTAGCATTATTAAATATTTAAATCATAGTTATGGAAATTTTTTTTATAAAAATCAGAAATCATTCTAAGCCAACTATATATAGTTATATATATAGTTATATCGAAAATATACTTCATCACAACCCTTGCCAACTGTCGGTTCTTTTGCGCACAGAGTTATGATGAATTTTGAGGATTTTCTTTCAGAACACTTCATTACATAAACATCGATGGCTAAATTTAGCAAACTTTAAAATTTTAGCCTAAATTAAAAAAGCGAGAGCAAATAGATCTTGAAAAATCATTTTCAGTGTTTTTTAATAGCTACATGGAGATGAACACCTGTATTCAAAAAGCTCACTCGCACTGATACTCAAAGAGTATAACATAAATATTTTGTTAATGCTAGTCAATAAGAAAGTTCTTTCTGAATAGGTGGAAAGATTTAAGCTAAAACACGGAAATACCGTCATGAAAACGTTATGAGAAGTTTAAGATCTCCCACTCAAAGAGTTTCAGTGCGAGTGAGCTTTTAGAATACAGGCGGAAGTACATTGATCAATATACTTTTTGACTGCACAAAAAAGCGGAAGTCATTCACTTTCGTAATTTAATATTCTATATATAAATAAACTCGGTTTACCTTGTAGTTTTATCGATAAATAAAACTTTTTCAATACTGAAATCATACATTTAGTCGACATTTAGTCGCCTCAGACTCGGTGATTACAATTGTTAAATATGTTAGTATTGTGGAACGCATTGTATAATAGATTAAAACGAAAACAATTTTTTTCCCAATTTATATCATAGAATTTATCTATTTTATGTCATAATGATCGCTTTTTAATTAGAGAAAGTAAAGTAACTGACAACCAAAACCCTTCTAAGTCAGGGTTCCATTTCATCCGAAGTGATCCTTCGGATATCAGGTGTTGTGTGGAAGCTACAAAAAGTTTTCAGACATCACTGAATACAGACTGTCTTGCACTATACATATGTTAAGCTGCGTTTACACTTCAGGCCTAGACCTATTGAAAGGTGAAAAAAGGCGTAAGAAATCTAAACTTTATTTTTAACAGTCTTTTAGCCCTTTCCATAAAGGTTTTCACACATCTTAGCCGTACGCGTTGCTTTGGTTTTGTCGTTTTGTTTACATTTTTCACAGCGGGCCGGATGCGCTTCTCAGCCAATCAGATTGCTTCATTTACACAGTTAAAAAATAAATACATATAACTTAATTTTATTGACACCAATGAATTTTTTCACATATTTTGTAAATTTAGCATACCCAATAACACTGCCATATCATTGATTTATTTGAACTTTTCGCTATTTTAAATGAATACATTCAGCTATTTTCGATATTTTAGACGAGAACTACATGACCACAACGTGCGAAATAGCTACTAATTATCTACTATATTTAAACCTATAGAAAGAATTTCGAGCAGATGTCCCCTTTAGAACAAAACGGAGAGGGTTGGAAATATATACAGAATATTTCTAATTTGCTTACAGACACAGGTTCGTGGAATCATTCACAATTCAAAACTACCTAGATATAGTGCATAAGACTCAGGTGGTCAAGGTAATTTTTTAGCTTAACCGGTTGGTGACTCGCAGTAGCATCGTCACAATCTTCATTTCATAACTATAGATGGTTATTGCAATTAAAGTCTTTATATGAATCGGAAGTTTAATTTATGTTAACTTTATTTGACTGAGACATGCATGCCTATGATTTGTGATTTTTGGCACTTCACTCGATGCACGTAAATTCTAAGGTTTATATAAAGGGTCTTGAGTTCGAGTGGAATTATACACACTTCAAATTCAAGTCATTACAATCTTATATACACATTAACCACGCTTGCTCTTGTCAGCTACCTCTGTAGCTCAGTGGAAAAAGCATTGCACCAGCATCGCAAAAGCGTAGTCTGGCTTGAATTTGAAGTGTGTTCAGTTCCACTCGAACTTAAGACCCTTTATACCCTAGAATGAGACATGCTTAGTTTAAAATTACTGCTACCAAAGCTTTTGTACACTAGCAAAGTAAGCCAACGGTCGAGGTTATTAACGGACCGAAAGCTTTACAGTGAAAAACATCACGGTGTAACCTAAAATAAAAAATGTATAATCATTCGATAGCCAAAAAGAAATTAGTATTAATGTTGATTTTTTAGAATTAATATTATTACAGCAGTTCATGGATAAAGAATAATTAACTACATTTGGAATAGTTAAATTCTAGTTAACTCAGAAATACATGACTCTGTTTAGCTAATTCCGTCCTTAAGTATACTATTTGTAAATCCCATACAGATCGCCCGCTCGTATTTCAAAATACGCTCGTGCTTGTGAAATGAATAAATTAAGCTTAATGCATATTAGGGCATGTGTGTAACAAATTTATGAATACTAATTAAGATTAGTTGTATCAAAGTTAATATATTAATTAACAATTCATGAGACCTTTATGGAGAATTACAGATGTATACATGTCACCAAAATACTGCGCAATGATTGCAAGTTAGACTCATTAATTATTCATGAATTTCACAACTACAGTTAAAACTTAACTAGTCGATGGAAAAATGAAAAAGTTAATAAAACTGAATCATGATTAGGCCTTAGTTCTTACAATACCAGGTTTCTTTTTTCTTAATAATTTTGAATTTTATACGCATATATATATATATACAAATCTATGTTTACATTTCATGTAAGTTTTCTCATCAGGTTCTCAGGGGTCGTAACTCTATTGGTGGCTGTTGTCTTCGTGCGTCTGGTCGACATATCATTCGACGGAATATACTTTTAAACGCTTCTTGGTAGTTTTGGTCAAGACAAACATAGATTATTGGGTTGCACAGACTGTTGAATAATGTAAGTGTGTTTCCTATAGCCATTAATACAACTATCCTGTACCAATAGCTTAATGAAGTGTTATCCCAATCAATAGTATTTAGATACTTCATCAATAACCAAGTAAACTTAGGACCCCAGCAAAGTAAGAAAACCCCAACGACAACCAGAAGCATTCTGATCACTTTTAGATTTCGTCGTAATCCACTTCGTTCGTTCTGATTGTTTATTGTTTCACCCAGTTCCCCATTCACGAGCATTTTGTTTCGTTTATGAGCGATATGAAAAATCAGAGTGTACATAATAACGATGACTAGTACAGGTAGAAAAAACACACTTATTGTTAGGCCAAGGTAAAATATCGCGGATTTTTCGAGGTCAGCGTCCCAACTGCAAGGGCCAATTCCGGTGCCCAAAATTCCAGAGCTTCCTGAACGAGGAGTTGCAGAGTATGTGGCAAGACCAGTTGAAATGAGAACAATGACGAAAATTATCTTTATTGATCTAGAAGTGGTCATTCGTGATTTGTACAGAAGCGGTTTGCTGATTTTGAGATATCGATCACAACTGTTGTGAGATCATTATTGACATATATTGTAGTTATAGGCGAAACTAATATAAACTCATTATGCGAATTAAACAATTAAGTATTGTTATGTTAATCAAGTAAAAAACCCAAAAAGATTTGCTATATAAACTCGTGTAAATATTCTGCTGTATGTAGTCGACGGAATCTTCTTTAATATATGTATCCACACACACCTGAGTTGTGTTCTGAGTTTATAACATTGGCGACGAGGATTCACTTAAGCAAGTATGCCTCCTAAATCGAGGAAAGCGTTGAAAATTGAAGAATTCGAGCCAGACGAAGACATATTAGAAACCACATGCAAATGGAAACTGTGGAGACGAAGACTTGAAGTTCAAATGAAATACTTCGACATCGTAAAGCCTGAAGACATGAAAGCAGCGTTGTTAGTCCATGGTGGGGATAGAATTCTTTCTATAGACGAGAATGGAGCTGAACCGGAGGGAGATCTTGACGAATACGAGAAGCTTATTGCTAAAATCGAGCATGTATATGTTGCAACAAACACAAGACTTCACGCCAGATTTAGATTCAACAAAGCCGTTCGACAACCGGGCCAATCTATCGCACAGTATGAACTTGAACTTCGACGACTCGCTAAAGAATGCGATTTTCACGGACAGGATGATGAGATGATCCTAGATCGTTTAATATTAACGTGTAAAGATGAAAGCCTACAAGCGAAAGCATTAGAGAATAATTGGTCGCTTGAGAACTTCTTGAAATATGCAACTACAAAGCAAGACGTCGAAGCACAAAGAAACGAAATGAAAATCAAGAGCGAACTTCCCGAATTTGAAGTGCGAAGAGTAGCTAATAAAAGATTCGCGAGAAGGAAATCACAGAAGTTATATTCATTTAGAAATCGCGAAAACCCGAGGAAACTCTCGAATGACGAAAAAGAGAAGAAAGCTTGCACCAAGTGTGGACGTGATAGATCACACCCTATATGCCCAGCTGCCGAGAAAGAATGTTTCAACTGTCGGAAGGTTGGTCATTTCAGTGCACAGTGTTTCTCGAGAAAATTGGACAACAGAAATAAGCAAGTAAAAGCTGCCGAAGCTGCCGGATTGTGTGGTGGTCATGGGACGAATGATTCTATACTAGACCGTGTTGCTTCATCTGATTCTGATCCCGAATTTTACAGATGTGTTAGCGAGAAATTGGGTATACGGGCGGTCAAAGGACAAAATGCTAGCAACATTTTATTACCCGTCCATATATTTGGAGTAAAAATCATCGTTGATCCAGATACTGGCGCTGACGTTGATCTAATCTCCGTAAGCGATTTCAAGAAAATTCATGAAGGAAATCCCGATGTTGAGAGGCAGATTAAGAAGCCAAAACAGAAGATCTACGCCCTGAATGGTGAAGAAATTGAAGTTATAGCTACAATTAAAGATGCAAGGATGTCAAACAAGAACGCAGAGACACTCGCCGATCTCTACATTGTTGAAGATTGTATCCATAAACACTCCTTGTTATCCGAAAGAACACTGATGAAACTCGGTATGATTAAATACAGCGCTGAGGGAGAGTTTGTTAAGAAAGTCGATGCGGGCGTAAGTGACGACACTGAACGAAAGTGTAAACCTGAAGAGGAAATACCGCTCAAGAAGAAAGAACTCAGAAACATCCTGCAGAAGCACAAGAAAATGTTCCATGGCATAGGAACACTAAAAGATCCTGAAACAGGTGAACCAATCCTTACCCACATCGAACTGAACCCCGATGCACAACCTGTCATACAAACTCCAAGACCCGTGCCACATCATCTCGCAGAAAGAACCAAAAAGAAATTGGATTACTTCGTGGAAGAAGGGATAATGACTTGGACTAAACCTGGAGAACCAATTTCATATGCCAGTCCACTTGTTATCACGCCGAAAGGAGATCATGATGTTCGAATCACTGCAGACTTCCGATTGGCTAACAAAGGAGCATCAAGGACTCGCATCGTGCCTGGTTTACGAATAGACGAGCTGTCTGCGTCCTTTGGCGATTGCAAAGTGTTCTCACATTTGGATATGAATAATGGCTATCATCAAATGAAAGTTGACGAGGAATCCAAGAAATATTTAGTCGTGACCACGCCATGGGGGAATTTGAAGCATGAGACGCTTGCGCAGGGATGGATAACCAGTCAAGATGAATTCGACAGACGAATAAACGAGATTTTAGCGGGAATTCCTTATGTGAAATGTAACCGAGATGATTGTCTAATTGGTGGAAAAAACTGGGACGAGCATAATCGAACACTCGATCTAGTCCTGACGCGTCTGCAAGACCACGGATTGACATTGAGATTAGAGAAGTGTGAATTTGGAAAGGAAGAAGTCGAGTTTTATGGTGTCAGATTTACGGCAGAAGGAATCAAACCATCAGAGAAAAAAGTGAGAGCATTACAAGAATGTGGAGAACCCAACTCAAAAGAAGGAGTAAGGAGTTTTCTGCAAATGGTGGGATATATGTCTCGTTTTATCTTTAACTTCGCCCAGATTGCTGCACCGTTGCGACAGTTAACGAAATCAACATCAACTTTTTCCTGGGGACCTAAAGAACAGGAAGCTTTCGAAAGTCTAAAGAACAGTTTGACGGAGCAAACAACCCTTGCCTTTTGTTCCTGATAGACCAATGAGGATCTACGTCGATGCTGGAAAGAAGACAGAAAAATCTAGCAACGTTCCAGGGGGACTATGTGCCATTCTATGCCAACAAGACGACGAGGGACAATGGAAAATGTGTCATGTGGCCAACCGTGCTTTAACTGATGTTGAAACAAGATACGGACAAACCGAATTAGAAGCTGCTGCGATCAAATTTGCGTGTGCTGATGCCTTCTATAAGTATTTGGTTGGTGCGCCAAAGTTCGAGATTATCACGGATTGTAAACCACTTGTGCATCTCTTTAATAACCCAGCGTCGAAAGCACCGTTACGAATCGAGCGACAGATTCTTGCCATACAAGGTCTAGATTATGTGGTCAAGTACCAAAAGGGAGCTGAAAACATCGCTGATTATGGATCAAGACACCTGACGAAAAATCATAACGATGTTCCCACGGTGAAATCAGTGAACGAGATGGAGGAAGGATTACGAGCAGTAGTCTCTGAAGAAAACGTGTACCTTTCGAAAATCGCGAAAAATGATAGCGACTACCAGTTCCTGAAAGAAGTGATTCAGAATAACCTTTGAAAAGACATAGAAATGATGGAAGAATTGCAAGATTTCTCGGAGTAGCGTCCGACCTATCTGTTGTTGAAGAAATCATCCTGTATAAAGATAAAGTTATTCCCCCTCTCAGTTGTCAAAGAGAATTTGTCCAGAAAGCGCATAAGATTGGGCACTCAGGAGAAACCCGCACACTGAAGCTTCTTCAGGAGAAGATCTGGTTTCCTGGAATTGCCAAACTATGTAAAGAGATTGTACGAAATTGTCAAAGCTGTCAATTCACCCATCATCGCACCTACGACGAACCGCTCCAATCAACACCATTGCCGCCAGGTCCTTGGCATACGATTTCTGTGGATTTCAAGGGACCGTTTAAGGATGGAACTTATGCCCTGGTCGGGTATGATCTCTACAGCCGTTATCCTGTTGTAAGTTACTGCAGATCCACATCGTTTTCATGTGTGAAACCAATCCTGGATTTGTGGTTTTCAACGTTTGGAACAGTGAAAGAATTGAAGTCAGATCGAGGACCTCCGTTCAATGGACATGAATTCAGTGAATATGCTCGTGAGAAAGGATTCATACATAAACCTGTGAAACCTAGACATCCGAGAGGAAATGGTGAAGCAGAGAAATTTATGCAGAACCTGAAGAAGATGGAGCGGATTGCAAAAGTAGAGAAGAAGAAATACCGCAATCTGATTGAAGGAATGTTAAATGCATACCGTGCCACACCGCATCCTGCTACAGGGAGAAGTCCATTCGAGCTCATGTTTGGAAGAAAAATGAGACTTGGTGTATTGCCGGAGATATCAGATGCATTCAAGCACGAATATGATTGTGAAGTCAGAAAGAATGATGCTTCGTATAAACTCAAGTCCAAGAGATATCACGATAAGCGTAGAAATGTGAAAAAGTCCAGAATTGCTGTTGGAGACAGGGTTCTCATGAAGAACAGGCGAACAGATCCACTAAGTATTATTCCGGGTAGAGTAACCCAGATACATGGACACGGTGTAACAGCTCGATTTGATGATGAGAAAGTGTTCGTGCGAGACAAGTCACATTTCAAGATCGTACGCGAGACATCGCAGTTTGAGAAAGGAGAACTAGCAGAGACAAGAGACGATTGTGACAAAGTAGTAGATCAGTCAATCAATCCACAATGTGGCAGACAACCTGTTTATGTGACGCGCCGAGGACGTGAAGTTTATCTGCCGGATCGATTCCAAAGTTGAGGAAAGAAAGGGATGTTGTGAGATCATTATTGACATATATTGTAGTTATAGGCGAAACTAATATAAACTCATTATGCGAATTAAACAATTAAGTATTGTTATGTTAATCAAGTAAAAAACCCAAAAAGATTTGCTATATAAACTCGTGTAAATATTCTGCTGTATGTAGTCGACGGAATCTTCTTTAATATATGTATCCACACACACCTGAGTTGTGTTCTGAGTTTATAACACACAACTAATTGCTGTCAGCGAGTAAATAGATGCTGTTAACGCAAAGGTGTCCATCCACAACATAAAACGACACAGATGAATCGACATATTATCTCGGCCACTGCTCGTGTATTCCAGGTCTGTTTGATAAGCGTAGAATGGAGCCACAAATAAACCAACGAGAAGATCAGCGACAGCAAGAAAAGCAAGAAAATATTTATTTGGTTGATGAAGACGTCTTTCCTTCCATGTGGCGATCAACACTAAAGTATTTCCTGGTATTATGAGGATGATGAAAAAAATTACCAAATCTCTCATGCTCAAAAAGAGTCGCTCCTGAAAAGCTTCAAATTCCAACCATTCACTGTCTTCTAATATCGCTGTTCGATTCGTATGATTACTTGAAGCAGTGATATTTTGTGACAACTCCATTATGTAAACCAGTTTTAACTTATTCCTAGAAGTACATGAAAAAAAAATTGTTTTGAATCTACAAAATATCATGAAGACAGCATGGGACCAAACGCACAATAACAAAACGGGTCCTACATTCGCTAGGCCGGAAAAGTGGATCCCATGCGCTGTCTTATAATATGATGTGCCGTGTGCAAAATGTACACGGTATCGGTTCGTTGTACTTTAATATGAAAACGATCTAGAGCAGTTGAAAATGAGCCTTCGGTTGGAATTAGGTCTGGCTTACCCAGACGATTATTTTCTTGTTGGAAAATGGCGAGGGGTGTTGCATGTTTTTCTATAGTAAATAAATTCATACATTTTTGAAATATTTTCTATATATAGTATACCCAATAACACATATATTTACCTATTTATCAAAACATTGTTCCGAGTTTATCTCTGCATGACAAATATTTTTTTTAAATTGTATTGCTTTTTGACTGTAAGTCTTTTTCGTGCAGTCGTTATTATTACTTCAGAAAATTCCTCTTTTGTAGCACTTAAGTAAATAATTAGGAGAAATTCCATATTTGAAGCCAAATTCAGTAAAAGGCAATCTATAGCTAAATGGCGACCACGCATCGAACCAATTTTAGCGCGTGTTTTGAGAGTTGATGAACGCGAAATTTACCATTTTTTATTGCACAGAAAACAAGGTTTGCAAAACTGACCGAATAATGATTAATTTCAATATTTTGATACACAAGATTATTTTGACAGGTTATCGACCGTAGAAAAACAAGAGGCAAAAAAATCGAATTTACTCTATATTGCTACGTACGCAAATTTACCCTTCATTCCCCTCTCTGGACTTTAGTGCGACAGACTCATCTTATAAATACCTAGGTTCGGTTTTAAACTCAGGCTCTTCCTGCAATCTTAGACTTTCAAATGACTGATCTCAAAACCGAACACGTCTTTTAATAAAAAAGTCTGACTTATTTAACATAATATATACCCTGGTGAGTATTTTCATAAAATATATAGCTACATTATTTGATGAAACATCAATACATCACAGTTTCCAGACTTGCTGGGAAATTCAGTAAGTTTAGTCTAGTAGTAATAGTATTTAATCGAATATAATCGTCAAATTTAAACGATAGAAAATCAATGATTCAATATAATTTTCTATAATATACACGCAATTCGCAAACGTATTGGTCTAATGTTTGGAAAATGGAAATCACTCACCCAACCACGTCTTTGCACGCCTGCGCTTACTGCTTACTCTCCCTCGACCCCCCCCCCTTTACAGTAACCTATGCAAACCTACATATTTTTGTTAATAACGCTGCGAGTAAAAAATTTAAATTACTCAATTAATTCATTAAATTTTATTTTTATTGTGTAGTCCGCTTTCCAATTTCTGTGCTTCTCCCACTGTTCATACTGTGAAGATCCGTGATGGACCAGTGCGCATGCGCAAGGTGTAGTTACATCGGAAGGAAAATTTTACCTACAAATGTTTTTAGCCCAGTACGAAATTCGCGCGTTCCAGCTAATTCACCAGCGACTGTGTACAGATAAAAAATGAATTTTATTTTTTCGATCTAAATTTATTGAACAATCCACCTTCTTATATTATCTTATCTGCCTATATTTTTCGTTTTTCTTGACTCCCTCTGGGTTTTGTTGAATCTTTGTATCCAAGGGACGCTGCAAGTCTTTTCCAGAAATAAAATCGGTCATAAGAATCATCATATTTTAGATGATAAATTGGTTTTAAGATTTCCGGAATATTGCACTCTTAATAAAAAATTGGAATCACCAGACGTTGAACAAAATCTAAAAAAAACATTAATGAATGCACATCAAGAAGTATCCATTTATTGATTGCGTTCTAGTCAGTGTTTTTCAACAAATCATAATCTTTGAGACAAGGAAGACGTTATCATTCTGTTTAAGGGAGATGCTTATTTTATATAAATTTCATGTATGCTTTCGCTTGTAATGTTAGACTGTTAGTGTGGTCGCCTGCTGAATAATATACTTGTTTTCGGGACAAAATGTCCATTTCGCGGACATCCTTAAAAATCTTTCTGAATTTTCGCATCCATGCGTAAGAAATGTATCAGTTTCGAGCGTTCCGTCTTAGCTGGGTATATTTTGATAGTTATTGTTGAAATATGATCCATTTGAAGCGAAATAATTATGAATCCTTGAGCGGTCCTGGTTTCGCCCCTCCTCGTATACCGATGGCTGACAAACAAGAAGGAACGATTTCAAAACGCGAAGGTTTGATTGAATCAAGACAGTCAAATGATAGTGATGTCGATATATCAATTGTATCGTTTCGTGAAATGGAACTGTGTACGTTTAATATGTATTACTGTAAACTATGAATATGTTTATTGAAGGAAAACTATATTCAAATTTATAGTATAAACATGAATAATATAGCATTGAATAAATCTGGAAGCATATGTGATGATCAAAAGTCAAAACAGAGAAAAGCACAATAAGTTCGCTATTTAACTACGATAAACAAGCTTCAAATAAAGCGGGTAAATACAGAACGAGACGGGAAAATACGACAAAATACTTTTAGAATATTTCTTGCTCGAGGGAAGGTAACGGGGCTGATTTTTCTGTACAACAATCATTAAATTAGTGCCAAGGAATATAGTAAAAGATGTTCGCAGTTGTTCAAATAGTTTCATGATTTTTTAGCTGAACACATCGGTAAAAACGCACAAATACTCAATATAATATCAAGTACATTCCACGATTAGGCATATGTTCCCGTAAAAATGCGGAATTATCCGTGGAAATATAAACGAAAAGTGACACTAAAGGTTGTAAGAAACATATTACGTACCTTATTCTTGGTTTAGAAATTAACGTTGGGCCGAGAGATATTGGTCAAACTCACGCGCGCCAATGTTCTGTGCAAGCCATCGGTCTACTTTTTCACGTTTGAATGTACATAAAACTCGCCCATACCCAGTCCAAGCCAGTTAAAAAATCGGCATGGATACAATTTACATAATATGTAAATTTAGACTGCTAAAGCAAGAGAGTTTCCAAGTCATTCACAAATAAACACAGCAGTTGGAAAAATACAACCGCTCGTCCAAGCCATGGAATCTTTGTCGGCACTATTTTAACAAAATCCACTGTTAAAAAGACCATTTTTAACACCAGAAGTAATGTTCGTGGGCTAATAAGGTGCTTTCCATACTTTAAACTTTTCGATCAGTGCCACAAGAAATTCAGATCTCAATAAAACTTTTCGGCTTTGTGAGTTTCGTTTAAAATTCGAAATCGAACAAACATGGGCCTATATGTGCCAGCGACAACAGGTTTCCCAGCTGTTGACGCCACATGGTTAAGAGGTGGGAATTTTGTCTGAGCATGCGCGAACAAATAAGTGCGTGTACTATGTGTCGTGCGCGTGACACACGCGAGAAAGTTTTCCCTTAGTAGCGCGGGCATTAGGGCATTTAAAAGTTTAAAAACCAAAACAAACAAAATGAATACACAGAAAACTAAAGCCTCACTTATTGTACTCTTGCTTTTTCTTGAGCACGTATCAATATTTTCGACTTTTGCCGGTAGAGCAAAGAGGAACAAAGCATGTTGCATTTGTGGGATAATAAATAGAATTTTAAATCAAAACAAAAGGAATTTCACACTCGTTGGATGCTCGTGCAGCGGTCGGAGTACCCTCGTAAACTGCATAATATTTTCCACGCGTTTTGAAATTTCGTTTTATAGGCGCATGTTTAGGCAAAATGATCTCAATGAGGCCCGGCGAATTTTGACATCACTTCACAATTTGGGCGAAAAAAAGCATATTTTCAAACTTCACATTCACAAGAGTAAAAACACAGAAGATTGGAAAACACGCTTTTAAATACTGCTATAGTATACTAGTGAAAACAAGTGTGCCTCTGCTGTCCTCTTAGCGTTTGCTTGTCGACACCATGGAAATTGGTTTCTTTCTATGGAAATTGGACTTTCTCAATAAATACCGCAATTCTCAATAAATACTGCAACCATCATGGTTAAACCATTTAACCATGGTTGATTTATAAACGCTTATCGGCAACAAAATATGTCTTGTACGATAGATTTCGCAACATTGCGCGCCTTTTCGCCTGCACGATCGTGTTATTTTACTGACTTACTGTCAGTGAATTCTTGCTATTGCTTAGTCAGCATGCATGATGAATACAACTAAAAGAAACGAGAGGAACACTGTCGGACTGTTAAATTTCTTCGGTAACCTAGAATCTTTTTTATTGGCATTAGCTAGCTAGCGTCTGTTTTTATTGGCATTAGAAATCTGCAAACAATTGATGAATGTTGTCTTTTGGCGAGGAAATCATCGCACAGCTCGAGGAGGTAAGAGTAACCGTTCTAGTCGCATCAGAAAATACGGATGAATCATTGATGAAGTTAATTATTATCTTTTAGAGAGCTTCAGTAATGCGTCGCACAGTTCTTGTTCTGAATGAGTTATATAGTAGCTATTATGCGAATGAGTATATGCGTAAAAGAAAATTTAGAGAGCATATTTGAAGTTTATAGCAAAGTTAAACAGGGGTATAAGGCGAGAATAAACCACGTTCAAAATGAGAATTTTGTATATAGTTCAGAGTGCCGTAGTTTCGAGTATAGGAACAAATAGATGAAGTTTAGAATTCCGCGCTCCATATGTCTGTGAATATACAACAAGAGAAAATTGTGTGAAAAGTTGTTCTCCTTTGCAGTATGACTTGGAAATTAATGATGGGCTACAAAGTGGGATGGGAACAGAAACAACAGAGCATAATTATGAACGAAAAAGCGACAAAAACTTTTCGCCTGCAGTTTATCAGCATTAGACAAGTTTTCCTGCCAAAGTTAACGTTGTTCACAGCTGTCAAAATATTTTAAAAAATATTGTTGAATTTAAATAACATGAGACAGTAGTGCTTGCGATGGAAACAAAATCTTGCTCAACCCAAAAATCTGATCGTTTTTAGGCGTTAATTTTATATGCAAGGAGGCTATAAATTAATTTACCTTTATTCACCTTTCGGTATTTTCTCGGTGTAAATTTCATTAACTCCGTGGTTCTTCTCTTTAAAAACTTAGAATTTCAAATGACCGTTCTCAAGATGGTTCGCGTCTTTTAATGGTGTCATTGAGTAATGCTTATATTGAGCGACCGACCAGATCCCAGACGCATTAAGTGGGGTGCACATTATAATGTTAAGTATTATAAATATAATGTTTAGAATTATAATGTAACTATAATGTTAAGAATTATATACTGAGCCAACGTCTGTCTTTGTCTACAGAAGCCGATTAAAATTTCTATGCATGGTTTTGTGTTGTTTCCATTTCCGCTTCTTGAACATTGATGTCTTGTGTCTCTTCATCGACGTGGCGTTATGACATATCATGTGCAGTAAAAAAAGTCGTATCTTATATTATGACCCCATGCAATCGTCGGACGTGACGAATTCACGGAAGACTTTGAGCCAATCAGAGACTGTGAATTATTTTATTATTACTACAACACTTTCTAAAGGCTGGGAAAGCCAAATACGTTAAATGTCCTTTGACACCGGATATTTTAAGTTTATATTCGTATGAAACAATAATCAATATGTTCTCGGAGTTCAAGATCAGTCTGATCAGAGATGTTGGTGAAGTGCATGATGCTGCCATATTAGAACTCGTTTGCATCAGTCAACTGCGCTCAATATGGAGTTTGCAAGCCTGCAACAAGAACGTGCTCGCCAGCAATATTATTGACCCTCAAAAGCAGAAAAAATGTAGCATTAGACAATGCCATAGGTGCAGAAACTGCAATATAATTCGTACAGTTTCCAACTTGTTTGAACACGGAAGCAATTCATCCGTTCGCTGTTATTCTAGTCTTGTTGGTGCATTCAAGTGCCAAGCGGCGGAAACGTATACGGAACACTAAATCATAACGGAATTAAAGTTGAAATGTATTCTTATAAAATCAGCCAACCTTAATATCTACTGTCTCGGGTGGTTAGTCTGGATCGATCTATTCACACATCATGTTATTAATTGTTCGCGATTCAAAGCCATCACCAGTTGTACAGATTGAAATTTAATTCAAAAGTTATTTGAAAGACTATTCTCGTCTCTGCATATATAACTAATATGTTTATTTTGGATGTTTTATTCAAAAGACTTGTTTCAAATTTCTTTAATGAGAACTTTAATCGTTGCCATAAGCTTAGCTGATATAGGCCCGCGGTCAAAATTAGAACAAACTAAATTATCGAAACCGGCTGGTTATTTTAGCTTTACCTGAACAATATGAGTGGAACATTGGAAGAATCAATAAATAACACACCACTGATCACTAAATGTCGAGCAAGTCCAAATTTACCTGGAACTGGGGCCTCTGTTACACGATGTCAGACTTTCATAGTTTTATCATAACGGCACAGCCTAGGCAGCCCATGCAGAAGTTTGTGTGTCCATGCAGTTTCATAACACTTGGGGTCAGTGGCGCACGTTCGCAGCTTTAGTATATTGTAAAGCAATATAAGGTTAGCAAATAAATTTATAGTATCAAACACTTCACTTAATATTATTAACAAAAACTATGAACATGGATATTTTACGCGACACACAGTGCATTTTCTGTCTAAACCAACCGGAAATGCAAACATTTTGCAAATGTTTTATTATGGTTTTCATGATTATTTTTGTCAAATTAAAAGACTCCGACACACCTGAATAACGCTTCAGATGACGAATCAGGGACGAATATGGGATTTCATTGGCTATTGGATTACGTAAAAAATGTCAAACCTCATAGTTGCATATTAAAATTCTTCATTCGAAGAAGGAGTTTTGTAGTCCCCCGTGGCGGACTCTGTTGACAGCTCACAACTGACCGGGAAAATCAAGCGGAGAATTTCGATGAATCGAAATATTCTGCTTAGTTAAAATCCGATCATTTTCACTCCACACAAAGATAAACATATCTTTGTGCTCATTTTAATTAGATGCAAGCACTCGCAGTGGGCTTGGAAATTGTTTTTTTTGCGATGAGTAGAGAAAAGCCTTACACTGTCCAAATCAGTGTAGTTCCTCCAAGCAGGCTCATACTGTCAGCGGGCGGCCTATGTAAAATTAAAATCAATATCGGAAAGTCACAGCTTTAGATTCTTCGTCCGTTAAATGTTAAAGACTACGACCATGACGCATGCGCGAGATGAGAGGAAATGCACAGTATGGTAAGTATGGACAATTGGACCAGAAACACGCGTAAGCGTAGTATTTTAGCAAACTTGATAGCACTCCGTTGATAAAAGTGTGGCCGAGGGTTCCTCAAACAGATAGAATAATTGCAGGAGCCAAAACACAAAACAAAATCAACTAACCCCGGGAAGAAATGGTGAATGAAACAAATACCTTACTGAGCCACCATGATCAACTTTGACACCAACCATAACCGTTGCAGGAGGACATGAAGCGTGTATATATTCTACTTTCACTTTTAGACCAACAGTGATGGCAATAAATACCCCAGGATGAACCTAATGATAAGAAAGAATGTGAGCAGGGACATGTGGAGTCATGCAGTGATCATGGCGCCTGTATATTCATACAGCGCTGTGCTATACCCAATCCCTACTGTTACATCATACCATGCGTTAGTCCGTCATACTTCACACTGACAATTATAACCTATGCACCCAGGAACCGGAGCGGGGTGCAGTGGCGGGGGGGGGTAACGATGCGTGGGGGAAATGACGCAGACTATTGATTCTCCAGCATTCTGTCTCTGAAGTGATAGTCACTGGCCAGTGACTATAGCTTTTTGTTGTTGTTTTTCAAATAAGAAATTTGAAGTCATCATAAACTTTTATGAAATTATGTTGATTATTATTTGTAAACATTTTGAAATTTATACTAAAACAATTAGTCGTCTCAGGCTCGGTGATTATTGTTAAACTTTTTATCATCAACATATCCGCTCAGACACGACATTCAACATCCACTTTTATTGTGTATATTGATTTAAGGCCACGTCCAAGAAAGTTGTTTAGTTTAGCAGGACTTTGTTTTTGGCAGGTTGGAAACAGCGCAATAATATGCAGGGAACAATGAACTCTTTGACATGGGCAGCTAAAGACGAACCGGAACAGGTATTTATGCTTGTTAATAATTATCAAATCAGTCCAGTAAACAAAATGGCCAATTGCAACATGATTACCCGTCTTGCTAAAGAAGCCGACTTACCAGCCGTTTTAGAAATGTCGGAGGGTGTATATGGAGGCCATGACTATTTCCTTGTGGAGTTTTTAAACTTTGTAAAAGACCCGAGCCGAAGAATTTTGATCGCGGAGATGGATGGCAAAGCTGTGGGCTTACAGGCCATACATATTGTCGATGAAGGTGAAACAGCTATCGCTCATTCATTGCGAGTACATTATAAGTATCAATGTCGGGGAATTGGTAAACGATTAATACAAGAATGTCGCAATTATGTGAGAGCAAATTTTCCACAAGTTAAATTCGAGAGATATGTGACGAGAAGTGATGCACGTTTGGCAATACAGAAGAAATCCGATGACCTCCAATTTCACCAAGCTGCCACATTTAGGGGTATTGTAAATGCTAATTCTTCCGGACTGAACTCTCGAATTGCAAACAGCTTAATTGAGCAGTCTGTAAATTTAAAGCAGTTGAACAAAACCGGGCTCGAAGTTATCCTCAATGAGCAGAAGCTTCGAAATATCTTGTTTCAAGACAAATATCTTGTGCTATCGCAACCATTCAAGCCTCTTGCTTCTAACATTGCAAATGGCTTATTCAAAGATGGTGACACAATATTTGCTTCTTATTCAAGTGAATCTGTCGAAGCATTAAGCCACTCTCGCTGGTCTTCAACTCCAAAATGTTATCAGTTGAGGACCGTCTGTTATACTCAGAACAAAGAGCTTCTTAAAATCCATCTCGTCAAGCAGCTGAAACGTGCAATTGTGCAGCGCCCTGGAGAAATGTTTATTTTCATGCCTATCATAGACACATCGCTGGTCGATACCACAAAACACATTTTGTTTAAAAATCTGTTGCTGAAGAACTTGTGGGATGGGATGAGAGAATATAGTATTCTCTACTATTTTGAAAAATCTTTAGTATAATAGCTATGTAAATATTCGTGCTCTCCCCTTCTATTCACCGGAGGGGGTGTATTTAAAACGAGAAAAACACTTCTATATGCATTTACCTCGAAAAGCTGAGCATGTTTTTCTGAAGCTCCGTTTACACCACACTCGATTAATTGGCACGGCACGGTCGCACGGCTAAAATGGGTACCGTGCCCAATTAGTAGGCTACCAAAACGCTGGAAGGCCAGGAACGAGTACGGGTGCCCATTCTAGCCTTGCTGTGCCAATAAATTGAGTGTAGTGTAAATGGGGCTTGAGAGAAAAATTGACCGCATGAAAAGTAAGACCACGACAGCGATGCGTGCGTCACATGATAGAGGTGAACGAAACAAATATCTTAACCACTATGATCAAATTTTACACCAACATATTAACCGTTTCACAAGGACATGAAGCGTGCATATCTTCTACTTCCACTTTCATACCAAGCGTGATGGCAATTAATACCCCAGGATTAACCTAATAATAAGGATAAATATGAGCCGGGGGATGAAGACTCGTGCAGTAAACATTGTCGCTGCCTGCACCCTTCTCTATACACTATACCCTGCAAGTCATTTTCACCGATGTGAAATAGTCCGGATGTGATGTCGTCTTCATTTTCTGTGTTCAAATTAGTCAATGTCATCAACCACCTTGCAATTAGCATGTTCATGAAAATTAGGATTCAATGAACCAACTCTTAGGTTTCTTGATTATAGTTCCTCCTATATTTACTTCGCCGTTTTTGTATGAATATCAATGTGTTCACAAAAAATAATCGACACAACTTCGACTGAAATTTACTTCAAATTTGAGTTACTTCGAAATTTACTTTCTCTATAAATAAATTTTCTTACACATGCAATCTAAATCTCAGACAGTTTTGCATTAAAGCCTGTTTTGATAGCTTGAACTTCGGCATAGCATTTTAATTTGGATTAAGTCGTTTTATTACTGTCGTATACTATTTCGGTTCTAACCTACAATCGCAATTTTACTGCACTTGTCATTTTCGACCAGTACACATTGCTGCGCCTAAATCGTGGCGCACACTGGAGCTTTATTCTTAAATCTTAACCGAGTGTAACGTGTGCCCAAAAAGCAGATAATTAGCGTGTACGACAAATAATAAATTATAATGCCAGTAAATGCCTCGAATGCCAGTAAATGCCTCGAATGCCAGTAAATGCCTTGAATGCCAGTCTCCTTATAGTAGTCTTGTACGACGAATCATTTCGAAGCTATCCGCTTTCACGTTTGTGCTGTTAAACGTTCTTCGTCTAGCCGATAGCACACCGAAAGATTTGGGCACGCCGCACAGCGAAGAAAAAATATGAATTTTAAGGCTGCTCACATTTGATTATTGATATACAAAATGGCCAACGTTGTTATCCGTCTTGCTAACGAAGCCGACTTACCAGCCGTTTTAGAAATGTCAGAAGGTATATATATAATGGCCATGACTATTTTCTTGGAGAGTTTTTGAACTTTTTAAAAGACCCAAAGAGAAGAATTTTGATCGCCGAGTTGGATGGCAAGGCCGTCGGCTTACAAGCCATACATATCATTGATGACGGCGAAACAGCTATTGCACAAGCTTTGCCGGTGCATTTCAACTATCGTTGTCGGGGAATTGGCAAACGACTAATGCAAGAATGTCGCAATTATGTGCGAGTGAACTTCCCACAGGTTGAATTTGAGAGATACACGACAGCAAGCGTGGAACGTCTAGCCATACAAAAGAAATCAGACGATGTTCAATTTTACGAAGTTGTATATTTCCGATGTATTGTTGATAGCGACACATCCGAACTGAGCTTTCGTCTCGCAAACTGTCCAATCGACCAGTCCACGAATTTAAAAGAGGCAAACAAAACCGATCTTGAAAGTATTTTAGATGAGGAAAGGCTTCAAAATGCTTCAAAATTGTTTCATGGCAAATACATGGTCATAACGCACCCATTTAAGCCTCTTGCATCTAATATTCCAAATGGCTTATTCAAGGATGGTGATACAATGTTCGCTACCTATTCTGGTGAAACCGCGTTGAATCATTTAGTCATTCTCGGTGGTGTCCAGTTCCCAAGTGTCCTCAATTCAGGATCATCTGTTACACTCTGGACAAAGAGTTGCTGAAAATTCATCTCGTCAAGCAGTTGGAACGTGCGATTTCGCAACATCCTGGGGAAGAGTTCATTTTTCATCCGACAATGGATGCGTCGCTGTTCGATTGCGCAAAACAAATTTTGTTTGAGAATATGTCTTTAGAGAACTTGAAGGATGAGATTAACGAACATAATCTTTATTTTTTTGAAAAAGCACTTGTATAATATTATCTGGCTATACACTCTCCGCTTACAGAATCAGCCACTTTGACGGGGGAACAAAGAACATTAACCTCAAACATCAAATAACATCATATCAAACAAAACTTAATTGCTTTAAAGAAATTGTTGCGAGTTCAACAAAACGTTGTACAGCAAACAAAATTACTGCAATTTGTTATCTTTTGTATAATTAAACCTTAATTGCTGGGCTTTAATTTCAGTATATTTTGAAAGAGTAATTTTAGATTAGGATAACAACGCCTTTTCCCGTTTTCCACTAAGCGAATTTATTCGCGCGAACAGATAAAAAGTAGGAAGCGATCCTATATACTTTTTTATCCCATTGCGTTTTTTGCAGACCAATAACAATACCAGTTACAGATCTCAATTCGCGTCGCCCGAATAAATACGGGCTTAACTATGCCTAGTGCATGAAAGCTGCCTTTAGAGCCATATATAGATCTTCTCATAGGCTGTCAGACAGACGCATTTTATTTCAGTTTTAGACACTAGTTTTTTAAACTATACAAACTTCGCAAACTTCGCAAACTTTGGGTACGGATTTGGAAAATATGAGGTTTTTGTTTGCAATAAGGGCAAGCAAAAAAGTTTTAAATTTACAGTTTTGTTTTACTGTATTACGAATTGTTTTTGTTGTGTAACCTATTGCAGTTATTGCTTGATTATTACACAAAATTTGATTTTGATGGCCCCCCAAAACTATATCGAGCCAATCAAACTTCGTGTAACATCGGACTTTTCACGTTTGACGTCATTATGAAAAAGGTCCGTTGCGTTTAATTAAAGAATTGTACATACTTTGGTACATACTTTGTGTACAAAACTGTTTGTCTGTTGTTTGCTATGTATACTACAGTCGGCATCCTTCCCCGACAACTTTAAGTACGATACTACAGATTGTCCTATTTTTAAGCTCATAAAACCTCGAATTCACATAGACACGTCGATTTATTCTGGGGGGCGAACAGAATTAATCTAAAATACCAACAAATAACTTCATTCGTCACTCGTCAGTGATTGCCGATCATGGGTAATTTCCCTTCGTTTATTTATAGTAAATTACCATGGAATTTCCAATATACTCCCAGATTTTTAGCTACTACCTTCTTGTAACTAGCATTATCGATGCTTGCTCTATATGCTTGCTCTATCGATGCTTGCAAATACAAAGGTGAAATACAATACTTGAGGAAATACCAAAGTTCCAGAAGTATTGTATTTCACCTCGGTATTTGTTTGCACAGCGTGGGTTGTTCAGCATTCAGGAATCCCAGTTACGAAATATAGTTAATCAAAATGGCCAATGTTGTTCTTCGTGTTGCTAACGAAGCCGACTTACCAGCCGTTTTAGAAATATCAGAAGGTATATATGAAGGTCTCGACTATTTCCCTTATGAGTTTCTGAACCTTTTGGATGACCCAAACCGAACAATTTTGATCGCAGAGATGGATGGCAAAGCCGTCGGCTTACAAGTCATGCATGTTATTGATGAAGGCGAAGCAGTCCTGGCTCATTCCTTGCGGGTGCATTATAAATATCGTTGTCAGGGAATAGGGAGACGATTGATCCAAGAAAGTCGCAATTATGTGAAAGCCAATTTTCCACAAGTTAAGTTTGAGCGATATCTGACTGGAAACGATGCACGTCTGGCTATACAGAAGAAATCAGACGACGTTCCAATTCACGAGGTTGTATATTTTCTGTGCCTTGTAAACAATCATCTATCCGAGCTGTCTCGTCTGAAAAGCTATTTAACAGACCAGACTATAGATTTAAAACTACTGAACAAAGCGGAGCTGGAGCGCATATTAAATCAGGACAAGCTTCGCAAAATTTTGTTCAAAGAAAAATATATTGGTGTGAGACAACCATACAAGCCACTCGCGTCGAACATCTCAAATGGCTTATTCAAGGATGGTGATGATGCAATGTTTGTTTCTTATTCTGGTGAATCCGTCGAATCATTCAGTCATTCTCGGTGGATTCAAACCAATTCACGTCCTCAATTGAAGTCCGTCTGTTATACGCTGAACAAAGAGTTGCTTAAAATACATCTTCTCAAGCAGTTAGAACAAGCAATTCAACAGCACCCCGGAGAAACTTTTATTTTTCTTCCCATGATCGATACATCGCTGGCAAAATGCACAACTGATTTCTTGTTCAAAGAAATGTATTTGAAAACTTTAGGGGATGAATTCAAAGCATATTATAATCTTTACTATTTTGAAAAGTCTCTTGTATAATATAAATAACCTTGTCTCCCCAAGTGGGTCATTTCAAAATTCAAACGTACTTAATCATAAATTTGGTTGGGAGCAAAAGCAGGTAAATCTCTATTATGGTAGGATTTTCGAAGGATAACACTAGATAATTAATACAGGTATGGTAAATACCACCAATATAGTTTAGGTAATTATCAGGGAAATCTCAAGGAAATTACATTTGACTGCGGATAGATATTTATTAGGGTATTTTTAATGTAAATCAAAGGAGTTCGTATGGTGCATTGTGGAAGCGTCGGTAAGTTTAGCAGCAGAAGTTTAGGGTTTAGCTTTCCTACAGATGATCTCGCATTAAGCTTGCAAAGCATTATAGTAATGCACAGTGGCGTAGCCAGCCTGACGATTTTGTCCTGCTATGTAAATTTCATGTTATTATAATTATTCATTTCTTTAGAAATTCATTGTTTTTACAGTGAATAAACACCAAAATATTAGCATAGCGGGACAAATCGTCAGGCTACGCTACTGGTAATGCATACCAGAAATCAGTGCGTGCGTTTTGTCATTTATATACACCAAAGCTTTGGCTGCACAAAACATTAACACCGCCGAAACTTCCGCCGACTGGCCAGGCAGTAACGCAGATATTTGGTAAAAACACAGGTAGCCCGCTATTGTGTTGCTTCACATGAAGTATCATCATCCTTGATTCAACTGCTGACATATTATCGCAGGCGCTGCCATTTTTTCAGTGCGCTTCACTTGAATTATGTATTATATATATATATATATATATATATATATATATATATATATATATATATATATATATATATATATATATATATATATATATATATATATATATATATATATATATATATATATATTATATATATATAATATATATATATATATATATATATAATTATATATATATATATATATATATATATATATATATATATATATATATATATATATATATATATTATATGTATTAGTCGTCCCGTTGACGTAAACAAATTTCAAAATTCAAACTAAGCCAATCATATTGTGTATTTGCTGTGAGGCAGCGTAATCAGATCGATATCCTGACGGCTTTTCACAAAATTCAACAAAATTGTTTGTATTTTCGCAAATTTCTCACATTTAAAATGGCTTTTAAAACAAAAAAATGTTTCGGAAATGTTTTAGGGAAGTCAGTTCCCACATAGATTTAGTTTTTTATGTATATTTTTATATTTAAGTACGAGTATTTTGATGTGTAAGTTTGTGTACGTTGTTCATAAACGTGAAAATACGACTGAGAGTTGCCAACCTTATGTAAACATATACATAATACATAATTAACTTTAAGAGGAGACTTTTTTATTATGTCGCGTATTTTGGCGGGAAAACGCTCAAAACCTAAAATCTTTTCGGCGTACCACTCAAAATCCATTTATTTTACCTTTATTCTTTAGATTATGTTGTGAACTAAGTTTTGAACTGTATTTAATTTGGTGAATGCAAAACACCAAACAAAGGAGTTATTACAAAATATAATGCGGCGGCTATCCGAAAAATGATGTCAACGCCATTATAACTGAAATGAATACAAAAGAAGCTTCGATTCAAGTGCCTGTTTTTTTCGGCGTATCCCGAGAAATCTTTTCATTTTCACAATATTTTGAGATTATACAGTAAACATACTTTGTGGATGCTTTTCAGGTTTGCAAAACATTTTTAATGGTGAAAATTTTAGTGCTGTTGCATGAAGATATAACTGAGGTTTTGAGCATATATTACGCGACATGAAAAAATATCTCCTCTTAATTATGTATGCACTGAAATGGCGGCGCCAGCGATGAGATGTCAGCAGTTGAATTAAGTATGACGATACTTCATGTGAAGCAACACAATAGCGGGCTACCTGTGGTAATAAAAGCAGATTTATTTCAGTTTCAGACACTAGTTCTTTAAACTGCAAAAACTTCGCAAATTATGACTTTGGGTACGGATTTGGAAAATATGACGATAGAATAAGACGATAGAAAAACATTTCTCGAGTGCAGGTTGTCTATTTTGACAGCGACATAAATATTAAAATACCAAATGTTCAACTAGGCACAAGGTCATTGATATAAACAGCAAGTATGACCCTTAAATATGAATAAATTCTGTCTGGAGCTAGATGTTTGACTACCATGGAATTTGCTACTGTGGAATAGCAACCAACTCTAAGCGAGGTTGTTAATTTTGACAAAGAAAACAAGAACAGGTTGCGAGAAGAGCCAAATGCTTCTGAGATAAGGAATGACTGAGCAAACGTGAAAAGTTTTAAACCCTTTAAACTTCCTGTTTATATGTATGTTGAATAGGTCTTAATTCTTCATTAATTCTCGAATATTCAATTACCATTTCAAGTACGACACTGTAAATAATATTTTAAAGTCATTCAATAGTTTTCTCTTTGATAGCGATGCAGAAATGCACAATTATGAACCAGTGATTAGATTTTCGGTTTTAGGGATTTTGCGAGCAAATACCGAGGAGGAATACAATACTTTAGGAAATACAAGAGTTCTGAAGTATCGTATTTCAACGTGGGTTGTTCAGCATTCAGGAATCCCAGTTACGAAATATAGTTAATCAAAATGGCCAACGTTGTTATCCGTCTTGCTAACGAAGCCGACTTACCAGCCGTTTTAGAAATGTCAGAAGGTATATATGAAGGCCGTGATGAATTTCCTTATGAGTTTCTGAACTTTTTGCATGACCCAAACCGAACAATTTTGATCGCTGAGATGGATGGCAAAGCCGTCGGCTTACAAGTCATGCATGTTATTGATGAAGGCGAAGCAGTCTTGGCTCATTCCTTGCGGGTGCATTGTAAATATCGTTGTCAGGGAATAGGGAGACGACTGGTCCAAGAGAGTCGCAATTATGTCAAAGCCAATTTTCCACAAGTTAAGTTTGAGCGATATCTGACTGGAAACGATGCACGTCTGGCTATACAGAAGCAATCAGACGACGTTCAAATTCACGAGGTTGTATTTTTTCTGTGCCTTGTAAACAGTAATCTATCCGAGCTGAGTCCTCGTCTGGAAAGCTATTTAACAGACCAGACTATAGATTTAAAACTACTGAACAAAGCGGAGCTGGAGCGCATATTAAATCAGGACAAGCTTCGCAAAATTTTGTTCAAAGGAAATTATATTTGTGTGTGGCAACCATACAAGCCACTCGCGTCGAACATCTCAAATGGCTTATTCAAGGATGGTGATGCAATGTTTGTTTCTTATTCTGGTGGATCCGTCGAATCATTCAGTCATTCTCGGTGGGTTCAAACCAATTCACATCCTAAATTGAGGTCCGTCTGTTATACGCTGAACAAAGAGTTGCTTAAAATACATCTTCTCAAGCAGTTGGAACAAGCAATTCAACAGCACCCTGGAGAAGCTTTTTTCTTTCTTCCCATGATCGATACATCGCTGGTAGAATGCACAACTGACTTCTTGTTCAAAGAACTGTCTTTGAAAACTTTAAGGGATGGAGTCAAAGCATATCATAATCTTTACTATTTTGAAAAGTCTCTTGTATAATATAAATAACCTTGTCTCCCCAAGCGGGTCATTTCAAAATTCAAACGTACTTAATCATAAATTTGTTTGGGAGCAAAACCAAGTAGATCTTTATTATGCTAGGATTCTCGGAGGATAACACTGGATAATTGATACAGGTATGGTAAATACCACCAATATTTTTAGGAAAATCCCTTGAGTCCCAGACTCTTGGGAAAAAAATTACTATTATTTTCCTCGGGAGCATACATTAATTGTATATATTTAAAATGAAGTGCACTGAAAGAAATGGCGGCGCCAGCGATGAGATGTCAGCAGTTGAATTAACTATGAGGATACTTCATGTGAAGCAACACAATAGCGGGCTACCTGTGGTAATAAAAGCAGATTTATTTCAGTTTCCGACACTAGTTCTTTAAACTGCAAAAACTTCGCAAATTATAACTTTGGGTACGGATTTGGAAAATATGTTTTTGTCTGCAATAAGGGCAAGCAAAAAATTTTTGAATTAACATTTTTGTTTTACTGTATTACGAATTATTTATGTCGTGTAACCTATTGCGATTATTGCTTGATTATTCGACCAATAAACCAAGACAAAAACCGCATTCGCAAATCAAAAATATAAATACCCGGAAAAAAAAGTGAAAATAACCATACTGAAATTTTATAAAGATTTATTCACAGAAGAATAAGACAACTAAAAGAATCACAACAGTGTTATGTAATTTAATTTGTGACAGTTCTATGACATAAAACTTACGAGTAACAACGAACAACTCTTTTGGTATCACTAGATAATTATAATATCAATTTCTTCATTGAGATATGTTAAGGACATGTCTATAAATTTCAGATGAATAACATGGTCAATTGTCTGGTCTGGGACTGTCCGGCGAAGACATTTTTTTAAAGTCAGAGTAAATTGTATATTTACACTGTATGATTACCAGACCACTGCAGTGGCTCCATATCTTGCTTCATGCATATCTGGAAGTTTTTCCCAGCTGTTTTTATCACGTGTAAATCTTTCCACTGACTTCATGTCATTTCCTCTCCAATTTCGACCTGCCATTACAATCACAGCGTCTTTGACAACTGCAGCCACACATCCCCTTCTCTTATACTTCATGTCAGGTAACATGTAACTCTTCTGGGTCGTGATGTTGTACATCAAAACGGTGCTTAATACTTTGCCGTGGCTGTCAACACCACCCATTAGAATGACGTTGTCTTCATCCCACTTGACAGTTGCCATTTCACTCACGGGGTAGGGTAGGGGGGCCAATTCCTGACATTTATTCTTGGTGATGTCATACATAACAACACTTCTCAGTGCTACCATGTTCATCAAATTTTCCCTACCACCGAAAATAAAGATCTTATTACCAAAGATGGCAACACCATGGTAACATCTGCCCTGTGGCATGATGGTCAACACCTTTTTGGTATGAGGTCGAGAAAGAAAAATCTCAGTGATGTTATCAGAACATGAATGTAGATCACCGTCATAACCTCCAATCACTATCAACTTTCCGTTAACAACTACGGTGCAGTGTTCTGCTAACCGTCTAGGTAACTCAGCAGAAAAATCTTCCCAATTTGTGGATTGATCAACCAGAAAATCAATCAATGATAATTTCTCCATGGACTCGGACCAACCAAGACCAGTATAACCGCCTGTGACAAGAAGCTGATTGTTGTAAATAACGGAAGATGGTGATTGACGGCCTGATTTCATCGTGTCAAGTAATGTCCAGGTTGTTGTTGTTAGACTGAACATTTCCACTGAATTTAGACATCTTCCACTTGAGCCCCCAGCAACAACAACCATCGTCTCTCTGTCCTTTCCAACAATTTCTGCTATTTCTTTTTCCTTTTGTTCATGCTGAACCTGTGTCGATGTCGTTGCTGACATTCTTTCCGGTTGCTTCGTGTTTTTGGCATTTATAAACTTCTTCATTTCAACATTATCCGCTTCCAGCAGACGATTTCTTTCTTCCAGCCTGTCCACTTGTCTCTGAAGCAGTTCAACGTTGGCCCCGACATTTTCCACAACAGCATTCACGTTCCCAAAGTCAACTTTAAGAATATCCATCTCTCGTCTTAAAGCATTACAACTATGGCATTTATCTCTGCGTACCTTACACAGAACGGTTTCATGATGAAACAAATCTTGCCGGTCGACTTCCTGCCCACAACCTTCATTCGAGCAGACTGCTGGGGCAAATCCGCAGTCTGCAACATGCTTTTCAAGATCTCCCAACTCAACAAACTTTTCGCAACCACGGTTGAAGAATTCGCAACGGATCTTCAGTTCCGAAAGCAAGTTTGCTATGGTACGAGGCACTTTCAGAGTGTCGACAGTGAGTGATTCCATACATGTCGGGCAAGTCTGAGAATTTATGAGATGCCTGGTGATACAACTACGACAAAATATATGCTCATTATGGCGACACATGACCGGGTCTTTGATGACACTGGTACAAATACAGCAGTGAAGACTAGGGCCGACAGGGTGCTGAAATAGTTCGTCATCATAACCAGTAGTGTAAGACGCCATTTTCTATTTGGACAAAAGGATATATTAACTTAAGGTTAACTCAAACAGTGGCGGATCTAGGCTAGGGGTGTGCAGAATGAATTACTACAGCTGAAATTCGGAATCGCATTGGTGGATTTTAATGTAATTATTTTCTTTTAAATAAATAAATCTATAACCAATAGCATTTTTATTAAGGTGTTTTGAATTTAAAATTAGGCTGTGTAACTTATTCTGCACACCACTAGATCCGCCACTGAACTTAAATTACAGTGAGGAATTTTGTACTCAAAATTCGAGTCTTGCCTTGAACTAGTCCAGTTAATAATATAATGTGAGTATATAATAATATGTGTAATCATGTGAGTAATAAAATAATATGTGTTATCATGTGAGTAATAAAATCAATATCTGTATTCATGTGAGCAATAAAATAATATGAGTAATCAGGGCTATAGTTCCCAGGTCCTTCTATCACGCGCTATTTGATTATTCTGTGTTATTTATTGGCGTCATAAAAACAAAGGCACTTAAGAGTGACGCACGAGAAGACTTGTATTGTCAGGAAAATAAAAATCATGTATATTTTCAATGTCCGGAATTTTCGACAATTTCAAAACAGCAGAAAAATGTAGAAAGTACCCCTAAAGACGATATAAGACGATAGAAAAAGCATTTCTCGTCTGCAGGTTGTCTGTTTTGACAGTGGCATAAATATTATAATACCAAATGTTCAACTGGGCACAAGGTCATTGATATAAACAAGTTTGACCCCTAAATATGAACAATGTCTGTCTAGAGCTAGATGTTTGACTACCACGTAATATGCTGCTGTGGAATAGCAACCAAATCTTGGCTGGTTTCTGAAGAGCGCCTTATTGACTGTGCAGGAACCATAAGCATGATTTTTATCGTTGTTACACGTATTCAAAATTCGAGTATTGCCTTGAACTAGTCAAGTTTAATATAATATGAGTATATATATATATTAATGCATGCGAGTAATCATGTGAGTAATGAAATATTATGAGTAATCATGGGCTATAGTCCCCAGGTCCTTCTATAACGCGCTATTTGATTATTCTGTGTCATCCGTTGACGTCATAAAAAGCAAATGCACGTAAGAGTGACGCACGAAAAGACTTGTATTGTCAGAAAAAATTAAAATCATGTATATTTTTAATGTCTGGATATTTTCAATAATTTTAAAATAGCTGAAAAATAAAAATCATGTATATTTTCAATGTCCGGATATTTTCGATAATTTTAAAATAGCTGAAAAAAGTAGAAAGTACCCCTAAAGACAATATAAGACGATAGAAAAAGCATTTCTCGTCTGCAGGTTGTCTGTTTTGACAGTGGCATAAATATTAAAATACCAAATGTTCAACTGGGCACAAGGTCATTGATATAAACAAGTTTGACCCCTAAATATGTCTGTCTAGAGCTACATGTTTGACTACCACGTAATATGCTACTGTGGAATAGCAACCAAATCTTGGCTGGTTTCTGAAGGGTGCCTTATTGACTGTGCATGAACGATAAGCATGATTTTTATCGTTGTTATACGTGTGTTATTTGACTGTGGGTTTTAGTAAATAAATATACAGTGCTTTTTAAAGTTGACCCCTACTGCATAATTAAAATCCATGTTTGTCAAGCGAGGAAATAATATTGAAGGCTGGCTTTTATATGACATAGTTCGTCGTAATTCACAAGTCGTAATTTGCCGTATTTTTTTGTAATTCGGTATTCATGTGTCGGATTTTGCATAACAAAGATTACGAATTACGACGAGTTATAACGAACTATTTATGCATAATGAAAACCAGCCTGTAACGTTTCTATTAAATAACATTCCATTCACAAACACAAGCGAATAAAAAACATTATCATGTAGATTATAGTCAACCATTTGATCATTCCAATATCTTTCCTTTTAAAGCCACTGTATTAACACTTACGATAATATACAACTGACATTTAGCGTAATAGTGTGTATTATAACGTATTTGTTTCCAACTTACCTTGACGTCCTTTCACGAAAGACTGAAAAATCGTCTGGTTGCGGTGTAATTACATCGCTAAAACTCCAAGCAGAGTTCTTAATTTTGACAAAGAAAAGAACAACAGTTTGCGAGAAATACCTGAGAGATAATGTCTCACAGACAAATGCCAGTGATATATATATATATATATATATAAGGAATGACTGAGCAAGTTTAAACTTCCTGTTTATGTTGAAGAGGTCAAAATTACCATTTCAAGTGCGACATTGTGAATAACATACCACCACTTGTATTAACTAATTTATTGACAGTATTAACGAGTGATAAAGGGTACTAATTACCTCGTGCTACGAACTCGCCATTATAAATACCCATACTGCCATATCGAGCGATCCGCGCTCGTATTTTAACTAGTACTTATAGGTTCGGCGAGAAATTAATTCAGGATAAATACCACAAATAAATACGTCTTAATACAGGTAAGGTAAATACCACAAATAAATACGTTTGGTAATCTGGGAAATGTCAAAGGAAATAATGTCTGATTTCAACGACTTTAAGGATATTTTAGTGCAAACTTAAATAAGTAATTATGGGCCACTGAAAGCATTGTAGACACCTAGTTCAGCAGTAGAGGTGTCGATTACCACAATAGCTAACGTCGTTGTTCGCCTTAGTTCCGTCCTTAGAAATGTCGGATGATGCAATATGGTGTCACAATTATTTCCATGGTTGGTTCCTAATTTTTTGGATCTTTCTTTTCAGAGTTACTATAGGCTTAGGGTACTATTTGAAGTGTGTTTAGCACAGTTGTTCGCCTTGGTAACGACACCGACTTTACCAGCGGCCTTAGAAATGTCGGATGATGCAATATGGTGTCACAATTATTTCCATGGTTGGTTCCTAATTTTTTGGACCAATTTTTTTTATTAAGATTTTTTTGGACCAACATTTTGAACGCAAATTTCCAGAACTTGAAAAGTTGTTTTAATTGTTATTCTGGGTTTTGAAGTGTGGGTTAAGTTATCTCAGTGCAATCCTACATGTAGTATCCCTATATCCTTAGCGTACATCTCGATTTTGACTTTTTGTTCGTCGAAATCACTTCGAGCCCGCGTATGTATGTTCCGCTGTTTCATGATTAGTAATATACTTCATATAGGGAAGAAGAGTATCATGATAGTATACCCAGATACTATGTGAGGATATTCTAAATAATAAAGCGGTATATTAATTATTATAGTAAACTAGCATAGAATTTCCAGCATTACCCCCAGCTTTTTTCTACCCTCTGCATATGTAACTTGCTTGCTTGATCTATAGATATGCACGTATTTAGGATTTTGCTTGGAAATACCAAGGTGAAATACAATACAAACATTTTTTTCAAAAGGTTATATATGAGGTCAGCGTGGGTTGTTTCGCAATCTTAGTAACGAAATATAGTTGATCAAAATGGCCAACATTGTTATCCGTCTTGCTAGCGAAGCCGACTTACCAGCCGTTAAAGAAGTTTCAGAGGACGTATATGGAGGCCATGACTATTTTCTTGGCGAATTTTTGAACTTTTTGAATGACCCAAACCGAAGAGTTTTCATCGCTGAGATGGATGGCAAAGTCGTCGGCTTACGAGCCATGCATATTATTGATGAAGGCGAAACAGTCATTGGTCATTCCTTGCGAGTGCATTATAAAAAGCGTTGTCAGGGAATAGGGACACGATTGGTCCAAGAAAGTCGCAATTATGTCAAAGCGAAATTTCCACAAGTTAAATTTGAGAGATATGCGACACACACTGTCGAACGTCTGTCCATACTGAGGAAATCAGATGATGTTCAATTTCATGAAGCTGGACTTTTTGAGTGCCTTGTGAACGCTGATGTATCCAAACTGAGCCCTCGTCTTGCAAGCTATTCAACTGAACAGATTACAGATTTAAAACTGTTGAACAAAACTGAGCTGGAACGCATCCTTAATCAAGATAAGCTTCGTAAAATTTCATTGAAAGGAAAATATATTGGCATCAGAGAACCAATTCACGCCATTGCATCCAACATCACAAATGGATTATTCAAGGATGGTGATACAATGCTTGCCTCTTATTCTGGTGAATCAGTCGAATCATTAAGTAATTCTCGGTGGTGTAAAACCCTTACATGTCCTCACTTAATGTCCGTCTGTTATACCCTGGATAAACAATTGCTTAAAATCCATCTCGTGAAACAGTTGGAACAAGCAATTCAACAACACTCTGGAGAAATGTTTACCTTTGCTCTCATGATCGATATATCGCTGGTCGAATGCACAACTGAATTTTTGTTTAAAAATCTGTCCTTGAAGAAATCGAGGGATGGAGTGAAAGCATACGACAATTATTACTTCTTTGAAAAATCCATGCAGTAATATGAAAATCCTTGTCATCACACTCAAGCCATTTTATATAAACGTACTTGATTATTAATTTGCCGCGATGAGAGCGATCCGCTGTTCGTAGTGGAGAGCATCGAGCAGGCTACAAGTGACTAAAACATTCATTTATTTAAAAAGCATGCGATTGGAGACGATATTGATTAGGAAATGTTTGTTATTTCTTCTAGTTGTCAAGGAAAGTAAATCTCTAGTATGTTAGTGCAATATTTCTGAAGGGTCTTAAAGGGGAGTAGCAATCGTACAAATCTCAAATTAAAGCTAGCAATCGTTGAGAAAATGTATCAACTATCGGTCCTACGGCAGGTATCGCACATACATATTTCCAGATCGTGGTTATAGTGTTTATTTTGGACACTAATCCATGCGAATAGGTGAGGGTAAATGAAATCAATTACGTATTTTGGCACTGCTTTCGATACGGCATACTTCGAAATCCAGACCGGATTCAGACTGAAAGAAAACCCGGAATCGTGATCAGAAAACCTGGACTCAAAATTAAAAATACGCGGATTCTAAACTGGATTCAAATTGATCCAATTATCTCAACCTCGTTCCCAGGGTCTTTTACCTTGATTTTGGGTTGGGGTAAGGGATCGGCCAGCCACTTCTGTCTTCTGATTGGTTGAATAATTTTTCCTAATTTCTGTGTAACTGGCAGAATATTTTGTAGTTATTCCAAAATAATACAATTCCAATATGCTTTAATGCGACAATATTATCCGTTCCACGTGACGGCGGCATTTCGAAAATACTAGGCAAAATTTTATGATAAATTATGCTTATTCAAAATACCCACAAAATGTGGGTATTTTGAACGGCCGATCCCAGGGCCTTTCCTCTTCTTTCACGTAAAGTCCGAAAAGGCGCTGGGAACGAGGTCGCCAATTATCTATCACCTATCAGTAATATCAGTATTATCTATTATTATATATCTGCCTGTCCTATCTATATATATGGCTTACGATCAAGTTGAACGGTGGAGATATTTTTGCGCAAAGTCATTCCTGCAACTGTAGCATATTTTGACATTGTTTGGGAGCAGGATAATGTCGTGCATATAATCATATTAGTGCGGTGAAATACCAGGATGCCAATCACGCACCCTTATCCACATTGCCAACGGCAAACTACCTCGCCCAAGTCATTATCACAATCTGAGTCACTCAAAACAATACTAGCATGTATGATCTTTTTGCCATTTCTCATTTTTAACGTAAGAGAAATTTATTGCGTATCTGCGGTTACACACAATAAATTGTTAAGAAATTTGATGCGCATGGCAAGGTGTTTTCAAAGGGTCATCTTTTATGTGCAGTTGTAACATAGTGTACAAACATACAGAAATCGTTCGATTTTCATGCCCGACATTTTCTCTTACTCTCTCTCCCAATTTAATCCTGAACATTTTTTTTACCTCCGATCGACTTCTACACTCGACATTTTTCGCCATCCTCGACTTTTTACCGTTGACACTAGACACTCGGCAAATACCCAAACTAATTATGGGGCATTGACAGCATTGTAGGCACCTAGTTCAGCAGTACAGGTGTCGATTACCACAATACGAGTACTCAGAGTAGAGGTGTCGATTACCACAATAGCTAACGTTGTTGTTCTCTTTGGTAACGACACCGACTTTACAAGCGGCCTTAGAAATGTCGGATGATGCAATATAGTGGTCACAGTTATTTCCATGGTTTTGAATTGTGGGTTAAGTTATCTCAGTGCAGTTCTACACGTAGTATCCCTATATCCTTAGCGTACACTACATCTCGATTTTGACTTTTTGTTCGTCGAAATCACTTCGAGCCCGCGTATAGATGTTCTGCTCTTTCATGATTAGTTATATACTTTATACAGGGAAGAACAAAGGGATATTCTAAACAATGAAATTATTATAGTAAACTAGCATAGAATTTCAAGCATTACTCCCAGCTTTTTCTTATTAGCTGCATTAACTATAATCCTGGTCAAAACATTGACGACACTTGTGTTAATTGTACAGTTCAGCAGTCGCGGGATTTATTTCAAAATTCTCCTCCTTTCCCCCACAAATCAATGTTTAGTGATATGTCATAACTCATTCAAGCATTTAGCATAGATTACACATTGATTAAGGACGCGAGGAGAGGGGGGATGAAACAGAAATATTAATGTTTTGCGTAAAAAGTGTAGTCGATGGTTTTGGCCTGTATTGTAGCTTAATCGAGGCTTGATTTATGAATGTGTATTGATTTTGCGAGGAAATACCAAAGTACAAACATTTTTTTGAAAAGGTTCTATAACAGGTCAGCGAAACAGAGGTCGACTGTTTGCAATTCTAGTAACGAAATATAGTTCATCAAAATGGTCGACATTGTTATCCGTCTTGCTAACGAAGCCGACTTACCAGCCGTAATAGAAATTTCAGAGGGCGTATATGGGGGCCATGACTATTTTCTTGGTGAGTTTTTGAACTTTTTGAACGACCCAAACCGAAGAGTTTTGACCGCAGAGATGGATGGCAAAGTCGTCGGCTTACGAGCCATACATATTGTTGATGAAGGCGAAACAGTCATTGGTCATTCCTTGCGAGTGCATTATAAATATCGTTGTCAGGGAATAGGGAGACGACTGATCCAAGAAAGTCGAAATTATGTCAAAGCGAATTTTCCATAAGTTAAATTTGAGAGATATGTGACACATGTTGATGAGCGTTTGACCATACAGAGGAAATCAGCTGATGTTCAATTTCATGAAGCTGGACTTTTTGAGTGCCTTGTGAACTGTGATGTATCCGAGCTGAGCTCTCGTCTTGCAACCTATTCAACTGATCAGATTACAGATTTAAAACTGGTGAACAAAACTGAGCTGGAGCGCATCCTTAATCAAGATAAGCTTCGTAAAATTTTATTCAAAGGAAAATATATTGGCGTGAGGGAACCATTCCAGGCCATTGCGTCCAACATCACAAATGGATTATTCAAGGATGGTGATACAATGCTTGCCTCTTATTCTGGTGAATCAGTCGAATCATTAAGTAATTCTCGGTGGTGTAAAACCCTTACATGTCCTCACTTAATGTCTGTCTGTTATACCTGGGATAAAGACTTGCTTAAAATCCATCTCGTGAAACAGTTGGAACAAGCAATTCTACAACACCCTGGACAAATGTTTACTTTTGCTCCCATGATCGATATATCGCTGGTCGAATGCACAACTGAATTTTTGTTCAAAGATCTGTCTTTAAAGAAATCGAGGGATGGAGTGAAAGCATACCACAATTTTTACTTCTTTGAAAAATCCATGCAGTAATATAAAAATCCTTGTCGTCACACTCAAGCCATTTTATATAAACATGCATACATGATCATTAATTTGCCGCGATGAGAGCGATCCGCTGTTCATGTTGGAGAGCATCGAGCAGGCTACAAGTGACTAAAACATTCATTTATTTAAAAAGCATGCGATTGGAGACGATATTGATTAGGATATGTTTTTTATTTCTTCTAGTTGTCAAGGAGAGTAAATCTCTAGTATGTTAGTGTAATATTTCTAAAGGGTCTTAAATGCAAGTGGCAATTCATACAAATCTCAAATCAATAAAGCTAGCAATCTTTGAGAACAAGTTTCAACGGTCGGTTCTACGGCAGGTATCGCTGCACTTTACATATTTCCAGATCGTGGTGATAGTGTTTATTTCGGACACTAATCCCCGGCAAATAGGTGAGGGTAAATGAAATCAATTACGTATTTTGGCACTGCTTTCGATGTGGCATTCACGGAAATCCGGACCGAACTCGGATTCGGACATGAAGAAAACCCGGACTCGAGATCAGAAAACCCGGACTCAAAATTGAAAATCTAAACTGGATTCAAAATGATCCAATTATCTATCACCTATCAGTAATATCAGTATTATCTATTATCATCTATCTACCTGTCCTATCCATATATATGGCTTAAGGCGGATTTCCACTTACAGCGAAATCATTCGCTAGCGAAATATTTGCATATTTTCTTTTGAATTGAGAACAGTCAAGTCGAACTAATTTATTTATGCTGTTAAAATTCAAAAGAAAATATGCAAATATTTCGCTGGCGAACGATTTCGCTGTAAGTGGAAATCTGCCTTTACGATCAAGTTGAACGGTGGAGATATTTGTGCGCAAAGTCATTCCTGCAACCGTATAGCATATTTTGACATAGCGTGGGAGCAGGATAATGTCATATAATAACAATCAAAGGAAATATTAAGTAGAAGAAATTTGATGCGCATGGCAAGGTGTTTTCAAAGGGTCATCTTTAATGTGCAGTTGTAACATAGTGTACAAACATACAGAAATCGTTCGATTTTCATCCCCGACATTTTCTCTTACTCTCTCTCCCAATTTAATCCTTAACATTTTTTTCTTACCTCCGACTTCTACACTCGACATTTTTCGCCATCCTCGACTTTTTACCCTTGACACTAGACACTCGGCAAATACCCCAACTCTTGTTTATCATCAATATCATGCACATCTTTTGTAATCCATATGCTTGTTGCACTTATATCAAAGCCTTGTTTTCATGCATGACCAAAGCTAACATGGGAAAACACTATAACTGTCCGTAGCGCCCAGTCAAAAATTCTGAATAAAATATACTAATTCTGAAAAAGATCTATTCATCTAAATTTCCCTTAAATAATTCCGAATCGGATAATTGGATAATTTTGAATCCAGTTTAGAATCCACGTATTTAAATTTTGAGTCCGGGTTTTCTGATCTCGAGTCCGGGTACGAGTCCGGGTTTTCTTTCAGTCCGAGTCCGGATTTCGAAGTATGCCCTGTTGATATGTATTCGATGTTAAATACGATACTTCGAAATCAGCGTAGGTAATTCAGTAAACCCAACGACGAAATTTAGATAACAAAAATGGCCAACGTCGTTACCCATCTCGCTAACGAAGCCGACTTACCAGCCGTTTTAGAAATGTTGGAAGGTATAAATCATTGCCATGACTTTTTTGTTAGCCAGTTTCTGGACTTTTTGAGTGAGCTTAACCGAAGAATTTGGTTTCCAAAAGAAAAAGAGAAATTGAAGAAATTTTAGTAAAATCTGAAGAAAAGCTTGGAAATGTTCGGAAGATTCTTTATTATATATTGCTTTTCACTGCATGTTCATTCATGCAAAATTTATGTGCAAAATATTACTTGAACAAGCTGCTAAGCACATCAGGTTTCTAGGATGCGATATGAAGCACATGTTGTGTTTAACACTTGATGCCATTGAAATTAGACACAAAAAAATTGGTCCAATATTTTAAGGTGGACACAAGCCTGTGAGCAGGCTACCTTGTCGTCCTTGTGCTCAGGTATTTATAAGGACATTTTAATGCAGAATAAAAGGCCGGAATTTGTATGGTGCGTTGTGGAAGCATAGGTAAGTTCAGCAGCAGAAGTTTAGATTACACATTTTGGTAGCGTCGTTTTTCGCTTTGGTAACGATGTGGATATGTATTCGATGTGAAATACGACACTTCGAAATCAGCGTAGGTAATTCAGTAAACCCAACGACGAAATTTAGATAACAAAAATGGCCAACGTCGTTATCCATCTCGCTAACGAAGCCTACTTACCAGCCGTTTTAGAAATGTCGGAAGGTATAAATCATGGCTATGACTATTTTGTTAGCGAGTTTTTGAACTTTTTAAGTCAGGCAAACCGAAGAATTTGGATTTCAAGAAAAAAAGAGAAATCGAAGAAATTTTAGTAAAATCTGAAGAATAACTGAGAAATGTTTGGAAGATTCTTTATTATATTGCTTTTCACTGCATGTTCATTGCCACATTGTCTCCGTGCAAAATTTAAGTGCAAAATGTTACTTGAACAAGCTGCTAAGCACATCAGGTTTCTAGGATGCGATATGAAGCACATGTTGCATTTAACACTTGAAGCCATTGAAATTAGATACAAAAAAATTGTTCCGAGATATTAAGGTGGAAACAAGCCTGTGAGCAGGCTATCTTGTCGTCCTTGTGCTCAGGTATTTATAAGGACATTTTAAATCGGAATAAAAGGACTTTGTATATGGTGCGCTGTGGAAGCATAGGTAAGTTCAGCAGCAGAGGTTTAGATTACACATTTTGTTTGCGTCGTTTTTCGCTTTGGTAACGATGTGGATATGTATTCGATGTGAAATACGACACTTCGAAATCAGCGTAGGTAATTCAGTAAACCCAACGATGAAATTTAGAGAACAAAAATGGCCAACGTCGTTATCCGTCTTGCTGACGAAGCCGACTTAGCAGCCGTTTTAGAAATGTCGTAAGGTATAAATCATGGCCATGACTATTTTGTTAGCGAGTTTTTGAACCTCTTAAGTCAGCCAAACCGAAGAGTTTAAAGAAAAAAAGAGAAATCGAAGAAATTTTAGTAAAATCTGAAGAATAGCCGAGAAATGTTCGGAAGATTCTTTATTATATATCGCTTTTCACTGCATGTTCATTCATACAAAATTCAAGTGCAAAATATTACATGAACAAGCTGCTAAGCCCATCAGGTTTCTAGGATGCGATATGGAGCACATGTTGCGTTTAACACTCGAAACAGAAAAAAAAAGCGTTTAACATTGAAATTAGAGAAAAAAGAATTGGTCCGAGATTTTAGGGTGGAAACAAGCCTGTGAGCAGGCTACCTTGTCGTGGTATTTATAAGGACATTTTAATGTAGTATAAAAAGAATTCGTATGGTGCGCTGTGGAAGCGTAGGTAAGTTCAGCAACAGAGGTTTAGATTACACATTTTGTTAGCGTTGTTTTTCGCTTTGGTAACAAAGGCGACATACCAGCGGCCCAGCGCACACTGAGGTACTTTGCGCATACATATGTCGCCCATTGTCGCCCACACATGCATATATATTCCTAGTCTGTGGGGACCAAATTGTATCAATCCAGTAGACCAATCTCGATAATTTCCAAAAATTTCCGGCGATATTCCGACATTTTCCGATACTTTCCGATCTTAAAATTTAGATATATGAACTTTTTGTCATTCTTGTGAACTTTTGACGTAAGCGAACATGACTATTTCGAAATTTCATCTGGCAACACTGTATTCATTTGCGGATACATGTCATATTAAACAACACCCCCAAGCATTGTGCATGTAAATTTCGCTTTAACCAAAATGCCCAACGTTGTTTTCCGTCTTGCTAACGAAGCCGATTTACCAGCCGTTTTAGAAATGTCGGAAGATATATATGGGGGCCATGACTATTTTGTTAGCGAGTTTCTGAAATTTCTGAATAACCCGAACCGAAAAATTTTGATCGCAGAGATGGATGGCAAAACTGTTGGCTTACGAGTCATGCATATTGTCGATGAAGGCGAAACGGTCATTGGTCATTCTTTGCGTGTACATTTCCAACATCGTTGCCAGGGAATAGGGAGACAGCTGATCCAGGAATGTCGCAATTATGTGAAAGATAATTTTCCTCAAGTTAAATTTGAGCGATATCTCACAGGCAACGCTGCACGTCTGGCTATACAGAAGAAATCAGATGATGTTAAATTTCATGAAGCTGTAGCTTTTGCGCGCCTTGTGAAGAGTAATGCATCCGAGCTCAACTCTCGTCTCGCAAGCTATTCAACTCACCAGACTACAGATTTAAAACAGTTGAACAAAACTGAGCTGGAACGCATCTTAAACCACAGTCAAGATCAGCTTCGCAAAATTTTGTTTAAAGGAAAATATATCGGTGTACGACAACCATTCAAAGCTCTTGCGTCTAACATCACGAACGGATTATTCGAGGACGATGATGCCATGTTTGTTTCTTACTCTGGTGAATCCCTCTTATCATTAAGTCATTCTCGGTGGTATCCAGTCGCTGAACGCCCTCGATTAAATATTGTGTGCTACACTCTGGACAAAGAGTTGCTTAAGTTTCATCTCGTTAAGCAGTTGGAATATTCAATTACACAACACCTTGGAGAAACATTTATTTTTGCTCCCATGATCGATACATCGCTGGTTGAAAGCACAAATGATTTTCTGTCCAAAGATCTGTCTTTGAAGACATTACGCGATGGCGCGAAAGCATATCATAATCTTTATTTTTATGAAAAATCCTTTGTATAATATAAACATTATTAACCGGGTAATATTTCAAACAAACTTATGCTGAATTTGGTCGGGCTATATCAGTGACAATAGGACCATTTATACGATTATTTATAATCCCAAATCACATACGTATTTTTAAGATACCATCAAATGTGGTATAACAACTGCCTAAAACAAACAAAACTCTTCTCGACGTTTCAACCTGAGGGCTTTCGTCAGGAGAGTTATTATGGCGAAGGTCGTCAGGTCGAAACGTCAATAAGTGCCAGTTTGTTTATTTTAGGCAGTTGTTATACCAAATTTGATCCTAAGTTGTTTGAAGACGCTGCCACGTACGCAGCTCCCTGGTTATATTGGAACGTATTTTTAAGTATAATCACTATATCACCTTATAACAATTTATAAAATATATTCATTTAATATTCGTTTTTTGTAAACTTACGTTCTGATTGGTCGATTTGTACCACGTGAGTGAATGTTATATAACATTATAATATAAGTATGATATAACGAGCAATTTGATTGGCTACCGCATGTGCATTGTGAGGCCATAATGCACGCTTCTGGCTTTTGAAGTTTTTGTTGCTAAGCAATATCTTAAATAACATGTAAGGAGAATTTCATTATTGATCAAATAAATATATTTTGTTGTTGCCCTATAATTTCTTCTTATATTATAAAAGAATTAAAAAAGCTCGTCGCGTGCCTTTATGGTGTAATAATGCACTCGGGGAAATGTTGGAAGAATACTCGAGAAGCTTGTAAAACACTCGGCTACGCCTCGTGTTTTACAAGCTTCTCTCGTATTCTCCCAACATTCCCCCATCGTGCATTATTACACCATAAAGGCACGCGACTCGTTTTTTAATTCTTAAACAACGCCACGGCAGTGCCGTTATAGGATTTATCGCACTATCAAAATGGCAGCAACAAACAAAAAATTTGCCGAAATGAGCGAAGAGAACGAAGAGGAAATTAATGTAATTATAGATGAATCAACACCGAAAAATACTAAACGGGCAACCGCTTGGGGTGTTTTATAGTATTTAAAGATAAGCATGTGTTGTTTATTCAAGTTTTGAAATGATATAAAGTCTTTACGAGTTTACTCAAAATGAATATTAAAAGCATTAAAGCACTCTTTGTTTGGGCATTATCGTTTTTACATGCACTTGTTCACTTCGAAAGTTAAGGAATGAATAGTTATATAAATACAGTATTGGAATAAAATATGGAAACACTAAAGTTAGGTTTGAATTATAACAAAATTTAGCTAATAAATTAGGTTAACAAACTACCACAATCGGGCTCTTATTGGCAACAGCTTCGTTTTTCAGCAAGATAACGATCCCAAGCATACAGCAAGGGTAGTCAAACGATACCTGGAAAACAAGACACGAGATGGCAGTTTGACTGTCCTAGACTGGCCGGCCCAGAGTCCAGATATGAACATCATTGAGCAAGTGTGGACGTACATGGAGCAGGAGAAAGTGAAGAGAGCTCCTGCAAACTTGCAGCAGCTGTGGGAGGTGTTGCAGGACATCTGGAGAACTATTCCTGTTGCCTTTATCCAAAAACTTTATGACAGTGTTCCCAGTCGTGTCAATGAACTGTGTAAAGCTAAAGGGCTTCACACTAAGTATTAAAGTTCAACTGTGTGGAAGTCTAGCGTTTGTCTTTTTCTTATACTAATATTACCTACAATTCTTGAGTTACAATAAAATTTGTTTGCATGTCACAGAAAATATCACGGAATGTCTTATTAATGGATATTTTATAAGATGTTTCCATATTTTATTCCAATACTGTATACTGAATTGACTCACACTGTGTTTGTTGCGAGTAGAAACAGAACCAAAAGTGAGAATTATCAAAGGTTATAGGACCGCGCTCGTAACAGTATATAGGTATGAACGTCCCTAGAATATTACCAATTCCTTTGTACAAAAAATTCTTAGTTCTATTTGATCCGCAAGTATTGTTTTGTTTCCATTTTATGTTTGTGGGAAAAGCGCTCTGTTATTCAAAATCCGGTTAGCTTAACCGAGGGTTTAGTGAATGATTTTTGCCACAAGACGTCTGAGTAAATATAATTTTAGGCCATTAGCAATCATTAATCGCTTTTTCCTTTCATGTATGACATATGCTTGGATTAATACCTGGATAAACAGTTTTAAGTCGTCACTTATCTTAATTGTCGCATTTTTTTAAAAAAAATGTGCGTGCTGTAGGTAATGCAAGCGCTTATTATGTCAATCAATTGTGTTCAAAATATTGCGCGGTCAAGCATGTAACAGATTACGTCATCAAAAGTTCAATTCGGTAAAATAAGAGTGAAAATAGTTTAAGTTGAAAGATATTGTTGAGGTATTATTCGTAAATTTTACTAGCTGCTGATGATAACTGGTTTAAGTTGTGAACATTAATTTTTTAAGTATCGATCGATTGAGCAGAAGACCAACTCGACTAGTGAGACAACGCTTTAAACAAACAAGAAATGAGAGCTGGAGCGAGCTTCCAAGACCAAGACCAACCCACATTTCTAACTTACAACGCTTATTGGTTGGATAAGGATCAGCCCACTCTGGTTGATGACGTGTGCAAGTTTTCTTAACCGTTACTATAAAAGGGCGTGCACAACACCCGAACCTTCAGTGGACCAACGAAGTGGGACAACGAAGTCGACCCGAACCTTCAGTGGACTAGCGGAGTAAAAAGCATGTGAAACGTTAGAGAAGCTCAACATTACTGAACCAACGACAAATTAAGACAGGACAGGAAACAACGCGAATCCGAAAGGATAGAAAGCAACGAAGATTTGAAGCGAAGGAAGACCGAGAAAAGAATATTAATGAACATTACTTAACCCACTGTAAAGATCCTACTACCTCGCATATAGAAAATAAAATTTAATATTTTGAATACGCGAGAAAACAAATAAAACCAATAACGTATCGTTCCAAGCCAGCCTATGTGCTGTTGTTTGCGCACATATTTTTGTAAATAAGCGGGCAAACTCCCTCTTAAAACGTCGCATTTGTATTAGTTATGAGGACAGATCTACACTTTCTAAAGTACATCTCTAGAAAGAAGCTCCTGCATGTAATCACTTGAATAACGTTTAATTTTTAAATCACACTTACCGTTTTTCAATAAAGATCATCAAGCTCTTGGTTTCGTTCAAATGGCGCGGAATGAGAAAGTGGTGCTCAAAATTCGTTTCCTCGCCTTTAAAATGAGATAATAGCGAGATTTAGCAGGAGGACATGACCGTCAAGGAGTCCAAAGACGACGTGAAAATAACAAATAAATGCATGGCGTGGCGTGTCCAAATACAGACGCATCACGCCATGTTCATGTCCTGTATGTCATGCTCATGTCTTCACTTTGATAACAAGTTCTGAAGGGCCGATAAAGAGAGTTCATTATTTTGTATTTGAGCAATTTGTTCCAACAATGGAAACCAGGCATAAAAGGCGGTTTTCCACTATATTATATAGGCTGAATTATATAAGGAACAATTGAAAAGAAACTCTTTTGAATGATCAGTTTGAAAACTTTAGTGTGTGACACAATTTTAAAACTTATATATTTGTTAACTTGACTTTGGTATAGATCGTGATCGTTCGTGCGAAACACTTCTGTTAATCGCGTTCGACGAAGGAGACGACTCGATTTTGGAACCCTATTATTGTATGCTCTCAAATTCTTATGGATGCCACTCGAGTTTTGCTATTAATTTTATGAACTTTATAACTCTAGCACAAGTTGTTAACATTTTGTTCTGCAGTCTTTCTGCCATTGTAATTTTTTTTAAAGTTTTGTTATTCGCCTTAGGGGCTGATTACATGGTGTCTTTTCAGCCCGGGCTGAGTTTCAGCCTGGCAAACCGGGCCCAAAGTATTTTTCAATTACATGCAGGAAAGTTTCTGTCCGGGCTGTGTTATGACACGTCAGAGTTATTTTAGGACCAGGACTGAAATTTCAGCCCGGGATGAGTTTGTAAAGGGTGGTAGTAGACCTATTTCGATTCTTCGAGCGCTTTAAAATCCCGAATGACAATAACTTAATCTTTAAGGGACTATGACTACACATAAAAATGAAATAAACAAACGAAAAAGCATTGTCAAGGCGAATTTTTCTGTCCGGGTTTAAGCCCTGGGGACGAGGATGCCTTCACCCCTATACGGACCTCCATTCAGGTAAATAGCATACATGTATTCGATATTATTTTATACACAAGCGCCAGATATGAGGTATTCTGCAATTTCATTGGTTGGCTACTAGACAGATATTAGGCGCAAATTTCAACGTTTTACATTTTTCAAAAGCAAATAAATTTTAACTTATCAAAATTTTCTTGTAGATTGCATTAAAATAATAAATTTTGATTGGTCTAGCGTCCATAGATTCCAAATTTTGATCCCAGAATTTAATTTATGTGCTTCTGAAAACTGAAAATTCGCGCCGCGTTGCCGCTTCGCGTCCGGTCTGTGTCGGCCTTTAAATACTCAGGGGGCAGCTAACTAGAGGTCAGCGGTGGTAGTTCTGCCCAACCAAAATGGCCAACGTTGTTATCCGTCTTGCTAACGAAGCCGACTTACCAGCCGTTTTAGAAATGTCAGAAGGTATATATGATGGCCATGACTATTTTGCTAGCGAGTTTCGGAACTATTTGAACGACCCAAACCGAAGAATTTTGATCGCAGTGATGGATGACAAAGCTGTCGGCTTACAAGTCATGCATGTTATTGATGAAGGCGAAACAGCTATAGCTCATTCTTTGCGTGTAAATTGTAAATATCGTTGCCAGGGAATTGGTAAACGACTGATTCAAGAGTGTCGCAATTATGTGAAAGCGAATTTTCCACAAGTTAAATTTGAGAGATACGTGACAAGGAGCAATGCACGTCTGGCCATACAAGAGAAATCAGATGACGTTCAATTTCACGAAGCTGCAGCTTTTGTGTGCCTTGTGAAGGGTAATACATCCGAGCTGCGCTCTCGTCTCACAAGCTACTCTATTGACCAGACTACTAATTTAAAACAATTGAACAAAACTGATCTGGAGCGCATCCTAACTCAAGATACACTTCGCAAAATTTTGTTGAAAGGAAAATACATCGGTATAAGAGAACCATTCAAGGCTCTTGTGTCCAACATCACAATTGGCTTATTCAAGGATGGTGATACAATGCTTGCATCTTATTCTGGTGAATCTGTTGAGTCATTAAGTCACTCTCGGTGGTATTCAGTTGCTAAACACCCTCGATTAAATAGCATCTGTTATACTCTGGACAAAGAGTTGCTTAAAATCCATCTTGTCAAGCAGTTGCAACATGCAATTTTGCAACACCCTGGAGAAACAATTATTTTCGCTTCCATTATCGATAAATCACTGGCTGAATGCACAACTGATATCTTATTTAAAGATCTGTCTTTGACGACTTCAAGCAATCAATTGAAAGCATATCATAATCTTTATTTCTATGAAAAATCCCTGGTATAATAGACCTTAGAGGTGCTTGCGTCATGGGACTGTCAAACAATAAATTGCAATGCAATATATGAAACATGTAGGAAAATCTAACCTAATATTACGTAGATTGACTGTGTGACATGAGCACCTCTAATGTCTATTTACTGCCTTGTGGAAGTACCTTACTTTTGATATTTGCATTAACTCATCCCCAGTCTTCTATCTGAGTTATGTATTGAGATAATCTCAATTTTTCTCTGTCCACAGATAGATGTCTCTGAACACACATACCTACAACATTTGCTAGTATTCTGTCAGAACAAGGTTATCTGGATAACTTTAACATATAGTATTTCACCTACTAATATGTTTTAAAACAACATATCATCATTAAGTACCAAGACCAAAATAATCTGCAATTAATATCCTGCAATTAAGTATAATTATGGCAAGGCATCACACTCTTAGTAGTCGAATAGTGCCATTAAATTACATAATGGATTATAGGAGAGGCAGAAATAGATTTTTAATTTTTACAGTCACATCCTAGAGAGCATAGCTACCCTACTAGCCTAGCCAATTTGGATAACTTCTAAAATACCATTTTTTAAATAAATAGCAGATGTTTATTGCTACAATAAATTGCAATCACTTCACTCTCCAAAATAGCATGCATTCGTTTTTTTTCTAACATTTTGGCTATTCTAAGCTATTTAATTAGTCCGGTTTGCCAGGATAAAACAATTATATATACAAAAGAGCAAAGTCCATTTAAGCTGGATTAAAATGAATATATAATATAAATGAACGTATGATTGCTGTAGTATTGTATGATTGAATGTATGATTGCTAGGCAATGTGCCCTGGTGGCTGCCATTGTTTTGTAACTTTTCAATGATTTGAAATTTATGTTGTAAAATTGATAACCAAATTTCATGAATTAGGTCACATGCACACCCTGTACAAATAAGATTGATAAATATCCAAATCAGTCACAAACGCTATTCGTTGTATTTTTCCAATACAAACAGTTGGGTTTCTAACTGATTTTCGTATTTATTTAAATCTTATTTATTACAAATCCATTTCACAAGACCAAGTTGTTTACAACACAACAAGGTCGTTTGTGTTGCAAACATTTGTAGTATGTTAAATAAAAAATTTGAACTATGGCATCTTTTCTAGCTAGACCCCACTTCCATATGTACAAGACAGGTTTTGTGTACGAATAATTGTTGTTTTTAAATAGAATATAGTTGTGGACGTCTCAATGTCATCTAGCGCCATAGCCACATGGCTACGATAAGGCAATACATAATTTGCTAAAATGACAGCTTAAGCTAAAGAAAATACGGATATATTGGGTAATATGGATGAAACATAAGAAATGAAACATTAGCAATGAAATATCAATGAAATATCATTTTATTACTATTTATCTGCTGTTTACATCAATGTCTTTTGGCTGGGCATTAAATTTACCCCACCTTTTCTGTGCAAACAGTTAATGATTATATTGATGATTATGTTTTTGATTATGAAAATTAATAAACCGGCATTACATGTGCCGGTGTGTGACTGGTTACTGATTGCGTATATTGAACGGTTGCAAATAAAACAGAGCTCCTAGTGACAAAAAATCGGCAACATTTTTATGGTTAAGTAAGGGAAGCGATAGATGCAATGATATTGTCATCAGACAATCTCAAAGCACTGCGATGTTGCCTCAAACAAACACGTAATGGTTGTAATGGTGATGTCTCAGTAATTCGCTCGTACGAACACTGGCCGCTTTATTACGCTTACGGCAAATATAATTTGTGAAATTTCATTGATTTTTGTGTTAAATGCTCCTCAGCTCGTGAAACGAATTAAACCATCAATGTGCTGACAGTGCTGTCGTTTGCATGAGGTTCGTTGCCCGCTAACGTACGCATTGTTAGTAATCTAGACTTCTAGTATTTTTACATATATTTTTAGTAAGCGAGCAATTAAACGTCCTCTTAAAACATCGCATTTGAGTTAGTTTTAACGACACATATACACTTCACATAAGAAAGAAACTAACTTTGGTATATACTTGAATAAGGTTTAGTTCATAGGCTTACCGTTTAAAAAATTATCAAGCTGTTGGGTCTTGGTTAAAAAATGGCGCCGTTCCCTAATGGCATAACACAATACGATGAAAAAGTGGTTCGTTTCTTTCCATCTTAAAAATGAGTTCATTCCAATATTCGTTCTCCCTAGTTGATTTGTCATTCTGTAAAGCGTTTGGCAATGGAAATTCGTCCAAATTTCACTTCGATATTGACGATAACAAGTTCTAAGCGCGAAATTTGGTGTGTGTCACGATTATAAAATTTACCAAACCTCGGTAATCGCCCGTCCGAAACGCTCATGTTAATATAACATGCTCGAGATTAAGAATAACAAAGCATCGCATTGCATTCAGAATAACGTATAACGACGTATAACCTAGACCTAAGGCCTGTGTTCCACTTCAACCGTATCGTAACGCAATGTATTTCTTTGTTTCCAACGTATTCGACCAAAACTAATGACTTTAAAACAATGAGATAGGCTACGTTTTTCTCCACGATACAGTTGAAGTGGAAAACGACCTTAATTCTCAAGGCCATGTATATAAAAAATATCTCCTATTCAGCTCAAGCTTTTGATAAAATTTGAATGCCTTATTATTACTCCAAACTCGTGGATGCTTAAAATTTAAAGAGAGATGCTCAATTTGAATACCTTAAACTAATTACTTTGCGGGGGGGGGGTTATTTTCTTATTCACCATGTATACAGGGTGAGTCAGAAAAAAGTGACACCTATGCGGCCAATTTCAATAGAAGTCTATTGAAATGCGCCCCATAGGTGTAAGTTTTTTCTGACTCACCCTGTATAGTGTCAGGTCGCGTCGAATGCAATTTGGTGATATTATCAGGTAAAACAAGCAAATAATCTATTGTTTTAATCAGGTTTTTACTTGACTTGTGCATGTTAACCAATAAAAAATTGGTCCGAGAAATGGAGCTGAGGTGAACATTGTTTGCATTCGACGCGACCGAAATTCGCAAAAAACTGCTGCAGATTTATTGGATTTGCCTAATTCCAAACCGAATTTTAGGTAAAGAACTTTCTTTAAAAGTAGGTATTTCTCTGCTTATATCACGGTAATAAAACAATTCGGCATTCCGGATGTCATACAGCGACCACAACTTTTGAAAACATAAACATGAAAGAGATATTATAGGTGTTCATTATTTATTTCATAATCTATTTTATTCCAATATAAAATAAGTTCATATGATGTGTAGGGTGATCTAAAAATGCGACTACAGCAAAATTGTTTAAAAATATTTTTCCTATCTGTACAAATCTTCCGCGCACAGAACATTTACACTTCGATCATAATAAAATATTAAAATATATATATACATATTATATCTGAAATATTAAGTTGTCTTATTATGCGTTGCTATTCCGCCATGTGAAATTTGCGAAGGTTGCCGTTAATCGTGGTGTGGTGCCTAAAATATGAAATATTTGAGTGTTATAAAACAAAAAATGGAAATTTAACATCCCTCCACAGGTTAGTTTGAAGCACCGTATACGTAGAAAAAGTTAAAGTGGAAGTCAAGTTCGTTCTGTGCTTCGGTTCAGCCCATAACAATGCGAGAGCTCACTCATGTAAAAATTGTCTAAATTCTGCGCTTTTTTATTTATCTGAACAATGTATGCATTTGATAGAACAATAATATAAACAGGTGTAAACAAAAATTTACAGTTTTTGAATTATTTACTTCCTTGTTTTGTAGTGAAGAAATGCAAAACTATCGTAAATATTCTTATTATTAAGTGCGTTAAGTATAACGTTTTTAATTTAATTTTAATATGAACGCATTTAAAAGTATGAACACATGAACGCATTTAAAAGTAAAAAAAAGTAACCCAGCTGTCACAAAGGATAGAAACGAGATAAATTTCTCTCTCATACTTACATACATTATATCGAATTTTGTGACATTTCTTCATTATATGCTATACTGCTGATATTCGGCTTTCTCCCTTCCCTGTAACCAGACAACATTTTTCTATTAATTGATAACACGATACAAACACTTATAACACCCGTTTACACCGCATCAAACTGTTAATTGAAATGCCCAGAATATAAAAGATGATTCAAGTCGAAATTTTCGAAAATTATTCTGCTTCATATAGGGCACACCAGATCATCTAAGACGGGAAAGGCAGTGGGACTAGTGGTCGAATAAAAATAAACTTCTCAGTTGAAACAAGTTAAATATCTCTCGAAATATACTTCATCTCGGTTTATAAATTTATGTTAAAGTTATAGTTCTTATGACTAAACATAATCACATGATTTCACTGACATGATTACAATATTTACCTGCAGTGAAAAATGTATGGGATGACGCTCCTTTGTCGGGAGTCGACGGACTGGGAGTTGCTGAATATGAAAAAAAAATTGCGTTAAAACAAAGTTTCTTCGCAGCGAAGATCAGTCGAGCGTTCGGGTCTTGTTTTTTAGGGTGAGGGGGGGGGGTGTTAAACGGCATTGGCAGTGAAAATTTAACTTGCCTCGTATGCATTTAAAAGAACTTTTAAATACCTGGGCGAGGACTTGGAAAACAAAATATTGAACCGGTCGCCTGTATGTAATTATGACTAAGCCCAGATTACGGCTAATATAACAAGGATCAAACGAAGATTTAACAATTCGAGCATGGTTTAAAATGAAATACCACTTACTTGATCTGGATAATCGTGCTGACGTGTCTGTAAAGATGATAAAAAAATGGTTTAATCTATGCACTTTACAGTACACTATATGCGCTCAAGATTGGAAATTACTTTATCAGTACGCTATTGGCATTATTGGCACTATTAGCATTATCTATAAACAGGTCGTATAGATTGTAAGTACTTAACATTGTTACAAAGTGGAAATGTGAGAGCGAAGTGCCTAATGTTATTACTGGACCAGTCGCAGGTCCTTGTATCGCAACTGGATCTGATCATCGGAACTGATTCGCTTGTCTAAATCACAAGCGAAAAAGTCTACCATATTTGCAACAAACAGACAGAGAAGAAGAATCTAACCTGGTTTAGTTGGATATTTTTGTTCCTCCACAGTTAAATCTCCTATTTCCGGAAAAACCTCGATATCTAAAGCACCATTACAAAAAAGGTATTTATTTACTGCATCATAATCTGCATATTAACTGCATAGGTTAGAACTTCACCACGGGCAAGCATTTTCAGGGTCCCGGAGGTCAAGGAGGCTTTTACTCGTCGTTTTAACGAGCCAACTGCCTATATCCAAGAACAGGAAGTACTAATACTTCGTATAATTACCATTGATGCTGATCGTCCTTGGAGATGTTGGAGGCAGGGACGATGACGGAGAGCTTACTGTTGATGATCGCGAAACGACTTCTAAATTTAATTATAATATAACATTTATAGTACGCGCGTGCTGATTGGTCGAACACTTGACAAGCGAAGCAATGTAATGAGAATTTATAACTGAATGGAATTATAATATTTGTACAAAATCTTTTTATTGAGTTATATTATAAAAGAAATAGAAAACATTTTTTCCTGTGTTTCTATACAGTTATAGAAACACTTGTGGAAGTTTGGGAGAACTCAAAATAACGTGGAAAAACTCGCACTACGGGCTCATTTTATGTCGTGTAAAATTTAATGAACACATTTCAACATGAATTACCTTCCTTCAAGACTCGATTTTCACCCGGGGAATTTGGTGGTGTTGGCTTCCTCTTCAGTTGAACTGACAGTGGAACTACGTGAAGGAAGAACAGTCATTAACTGGTTTTTGAAAAAAAGTTCCATTGCTTAAAGGATCGTGATAAATTACGCGATTAAAAGGTCTGATCCGTCGAGAGAGATAAAGACAGTGTACGTCTAACAGTGTTTTGAAAGAACATTTGCATCCGTGATGTCTTTAGTTGTACTTTTTTAACACACACAGCCGATTGAGGGCATTGGAATGCAGAATTTAAATATTTTGCAAAACTATCAGCCTAAGGACCACGTGTAAGCCGATCTCTAAGACTCCTAAATTAAATTAGAAACGAATTTCGACACAATATGTGGTACAGTGCATACCAGATTAGTTTCTAAGGTTGTAGCGAAATTTCTATCGCGCTTGCCTACAATATTTATCGATTTAATAATTCGATAAATTTTTACTCAAAAAAATTGTGTATATCATAATGAATGTTTCCTACCTGAGCCCGGAGGAGGTTCGCAATTTAACGACAGCTCGCGAAGTTTGTCCTCGTTCGTAATCACAGTTAGATTGGCGAGATACTTCTTCACGCGACGGCTCATGAGCACCTAAGAGAAAATCTCCAATTAGTTTGGTCGTGGACTGTCTATCCTCCCCCCGTACTCTCAAACAGGGGGGAAGCGTCGAAGTTTATATGAGCTGTTACACAATCTGTTTGGCCGAGCTACTCACCCTATACGCGCTTGCAGTGAAAACAGCCAGTAATTCAATGAGAATTTGTGATGAGAATTTTATAGAACTTTGAAAATTTATTGTTGTAATTTCTCACTATATTATAAAACAATTATACCATTCGTTGTCTATCACCTCATTATGAACGACTCGAGCTCATGGTAAAATTGTTAACCATCGTGTTTGATATGCGAGTGATAAACATGACAACAGATTATGTAAATAGTCGACTAGCATTTCCATGCAAGAAAAACATTCTATCAAATGTGCAGTTCTATTATACCTCTTCGTGCATCTTTCTTGGATTTCGAAAGCCGTTATCACGGCGACTGCGCCTGTTCTTGTTCTGAAGACCGCTGGTAAGAGCTTGAATAACCGTAGGTCCAGGTGTATCTGGCACAGCACGGTCGAACATTAGAAAACTGTCCTGGAAAGACGAACAGCGAATACGTTAGGCATGCAGTGGAAATACATGCCAAACATTTCTTTCATTTCTTCAAAGGCAACAGTTTGAAAATACTCTTCACTTTTTGCGTAAATATGCACTTTAATTACACATTACTTACGTAAGGCACGAGACCAAGTTTCGTCGTATTTCGTACTTCTTTTGATATACAGCGTAGCTTTTCAAAGTTGATCTGGAAACGGACAAAAATTAATACATTTCCAGCCATGTTTAAAAAGAAAAAGCGTCCGGCCATGGGAACAGTATGCTATATCCTTACATTCACTAGAAAAAATCTTACAACTTTCCCAAGTTATATTAATCAATAATGAGGAAAATCAAAGAAATTAAGCTAATAAATAAATAAAAAAACGTGGTGTATATCACAAAGATTTAACAACTTTTTAACAACACCATGCAAAACTTCAAAGAATGTGTATGACAAAAATCATCCAGAAAATGCAAGCACGTTTTCAGTCCCACTTACCAAACCATCAACTTTTGATTTATTTCCAAAATGTAAAAAGGAAAGATCTTTCAACACGATGGGGAAAAATGGTACCTTTGATGAAAAAAATACACACTCAGTATATGACCAAAGGTATAATGTCCCCCTGGTGTGAAAAATAGAGCAGGCGCAAGTTCTAATTATTTTTTTTAAAGTTTTTTCTGTAACATGTACAAAAATTGTACATGCTACAGGAAAATATCCTTTTTAATCCTTTTCGGTATTGTTGACAGAAATATTACAAAGCAATGTACTGCATGTTTTCTTTGTTACTTATTATAATTGAAATAGATTGTTGAATATGCCTATAGAGCGGAGATCTTGTTTGAGATGTCGAGTCCCTTTTGCACTACTTAAAAAACTATATCGCATCTCCGTTGTACACGACAGTGTTACACGATAGCAGCTCTAGTTTCTATTTCGAGCATTGTGAATTAAAAATTGTTTTGTCAGCGATTACTTATATTCTCATGACTGCATACGTGGGTCTCAAAAGCATCGAAAAACCGACCGAGCGATAGATATAAATTACGTCTTACCACAGGTGGGTATCTCTGCTCTCTGCTCAACAGAGTGCGATATTTTGACATGTTTCTTGAAGGATCCATTAAATCTTTAATATCCTACAATAACAAGATGTTTAAAACATGACCAATGGGATCATTGATAAGACTTAAAAACTACAGTACCTATATATCTCAGGGGACTTACTTCGAATATTTTAGTATATTTATTGGGAACTCTCTCCCAGGTCCCTTTCATTCTCTGCACAGCAGAATGGTCAAGACCACTGGAAAAAAACAAAAGTCAGATTAAAATAATTTTCATGAAACATGCAGTATGTGCATGGCTATATAAAAGAAAGTTAAAATAATGAATTTCACATGCATCCTGGTCTAATCGTCTCTCAAAAGCATGTCTTATAATTTTACAGAATATGGAGAATTCGCAATTACATTTCTAACATGCACACTGTTTATTATATAGTTGAAACTAAACTAAGCATACCTGACGATTGCAAACATAGAATTGAAATTTCTACAATCTTTACATCGTTCTTGAAAAATGGAAAAAAATATATAGCTAAAAATCCTTACGTTCAAACGATAGAACAATTTTTTGATCATGCAGGTGGGGGCGTCGAGAGAATTCCTAGGGAGGTCCGCGAATACAAAACACATTGGGGGAGGCAAGCCCTGCATGGCCTTCCCTGCTCTGTGGTTTCTGCTATACCCGCTGTCCGCAAGTTGACAGATCAACGTGTCAGGGTCTTGAGTGTCTCGTCATCAAGATAACATGTTGGGGCCGATAGAGGATAACACTATCGCGGTACTTACTTGCAATCCTTATAAATTGTTTGATAATCTTTACGCGTTTCACAGCACTCGGTTCCTTACAAATCTCTGTAATAACCCAGTATCGTTCCTCGTCCGATATCTATGAAAAAAATTACACCGAAGGCTGTTCATACAAACTTCCATGCACTTTTTTCTCTCTCCCACTTTCTAAGGGCTGATACTAACCTTTGAGAACTTTAATAAACTATTACGCAAAGTTTCTTCAAATTTCCACAGCTCATAAATATACTGCGAAGACTCGATCTTTTGGAAAATCTCGAAGTCCTAAAGAATATTGATCAAATTTACGTCGAGTTTTTTTCATACTGAATACTGTGCTATAGAAAGGGGTAGTTTTTCAAACCCTGATTTAACGAGTTTTAAATTTAACGCTTAAATGCAGTTTAAGAGCCTATAAGCACTACTAAAAACTTATTGTCTAAACTATCTATAAGCACTAAAAAACTCTTTCTCATCGTGCAAAGGGTACGTTAAATGAGTCATTGTTGAGGGTATAACCAGAATTTGGCAGAACTCGTGGAATACTTACTCTTAAAGTAACTTGTCGAGCAACTTCAGTGGAATCTAGGTCAGCTAACGTATATCGTAATTCCTTGGCTAATTCCTAAATTAAAGGCAATGACAAATCATTATTTCTGAGAGCTCAGTGACGCATCTAGCCATTCAGAACGCTTTATCAGAAGTCTAGGTTTATTTATTCATTGCATGGTCGGATCTAGGGGTGCATGCATGTGAAGAAAAAATTACACAGCTAAATTTTAAATTACACCTTAATAACAACGCTATTGTTCATGGATTTTAAAGGATATTTTTACATAAAAATCTTCAAATGCGATTGTGATCTTTAAGCTGTAGTTTATTCTGACCACCACTAGATCCGCCACTGATCTCTTCACAGCCTAGTCCTAGGAAGACTCTCATATAGGCTACCTGTGCTGCACAAGCCCCGTTTACACTACACTAGTTCGATTTATTGACACGTACAGGGCTATAATTGGTACCCGTACCTATTTTTTTCGTGTTCAGTTTACCAAACAAAGACCGAGCACAGATGAAACGGGCATGGGTACCTTTTTAGCCGTGCCGTACCAAAAAAAACGAGTGTAGTGTAAACGGACTAAGGATAAGCCTACAACCCCGCCCCCATCAAATTAGACTTTTGTTTAGTCGAGAAACTAAACGTGACAAACCTGTATCGTTTCTTCAGGAAGTAATGTGACGTCGGTTGATGTGAAATCTTTAAGATAATATCGGCCATTCAACGCAGCTTTATTCACAAGATCACACATCATGTCAGGAAGTCGTTTCTGTTTTATTAAATCTCCTTCATTCACCGTGATTTCGCTCAGAGAGAAATTGCTGTATAAAGATATAATTGCATATTACACATAAAGTGCATTACACATAAAATCGGCACTGTCTGTTTTATTGTTTCTCTAAAGTGACTCCGCACTACCACCATTGGCGTACGGGACAGGGGGGGGGCAAACTGAAAAAGAGTTGGATAGCTATAAAACTTAATTTGTAATATATATCAAATTCCGGCACATTGATAACTCAAAATTCGGACGACTTGTTTTAACCCCCCCCCCCAATCGAAGTTGCACCCGTACGCCTAGGACTACCACAACTTATATTAAAGAAATTATACAGATGCAGCTTATATGCTGATTTAACATTTCAGGGAAAACTTCAGGGGAAAATATCGCTACTTACGAAGCGGACTCGGCCAATGAAAATGCGTCAACAGCCATGTTCACAACTTCACGAACAGTCGTATCCTAAAAGACGCGAGAAATACGTTTACTGAACTGTGTTGTTATAAACATTTGGATGATAGTTCTTGCTCGCAATACTGCATGTGCACAAAAAAACAGCAAATGAAATTATAGAACGTATTAGTGGAACAACAAAAAGCTGAAATTGAAAACATATTTTACCAAAACGTTTCACCAATAAAAAAAAGGGGCTATTCTGCGGAATAAGCCGGTATGGTCTCAAAATTAAGGTACCCAAATGAAGTTGCCATGCATACGATGATTTAACATATGATTTTTATTCCACCATTATGTTACAAAAGGTGTACATGTATACAGGTAATAAACTAAATTATACATGGAATGTTTTGTATATGCACGATTATATATATTTGTATTATATATGTTTGTTAGGCGAACAAGAGATTCAGGGAATATTGCGATTATGTCACACTACTGAAACTGACTGGTCTAGCACAGCTATATACTAGAAATATATGCATGCAGAACCCCTCGCCATTTTCAACCAAGAAAATAAACATCAATATTTCAAAAATCAATACAATAATTTAGGCATACGACGTGGACCGTGCATGGTATTCATATTCTACAATTTTCAAAAGCAACTAAGTTTGATCATTTTTGATCATGTTATGAAGTTGTGTGTGGGCCTTTAAAGCCGTGATCTTAGTCAACTTCCCAAGATTGTCTAACTAAGTCAGCATTTGCTTCTAACCGTTGCATTTCGCGCTCCACGTATACGAGCTCGGTCCAAAAGCAAATTAAGATAGTGCATGTTTCTGTGAAGTCTGCATGTGCATTGTTTGTAAATTAATAGTCTACTTCGTATGTCGATGGAGTGTAATAATTATGGGGCAAGAAGAGCTGTGGCGCCAGCTCTTTCGCAGTTCATTGGTGGAAGACTTTTCCAGGTTTCTTCGCCGAGTACCAGGTATTCTGCTGTCTTGAGGCTGGTATAGCCTCTACCATCCTTACTTTTTGATGTTCCTCCAATAGCAATAATTGTATCGCCCATCATTACAGCAGCACATCTAGCTCTGAAATATATGTACACGAATTATCTCCAAATACTAGTCGCTGTAGAAGTGCGGAGATTTCTTTTAATATTTCTTGTTTATATTGACTTTTTAACTTTCCTTTGTAAATGTACTGTTAAGGAGCAATGAATATAGTTTTTAATGTTCAAAAACGTCTTCGTGTGCGGGATTTTTGGTATCTCATTTTTTGTAATACAATTAAGATATATTTTTGATAACTCTAAAAGCCTTTTCTTATACTCTACATGTTACTAAAGCAAGTTAATATTTACACAACGCTTAATTTTTGTTACGGTACCGAAAAAATTATACGGGTGAAATTTCAAACTGCCATACATTTACACTACGCCAAATTTTTGGTACGGTACCAAAAAGATGGTACGGATGAAATTTTAAACTCCCAAATAAACTGTCAAATTACACCCGTACCAATTTAATCTGTTTACACACGTTCATTTTCAGCTTTGGTACGGATAAAATTAAAATGATCGTGAAGACCATAGGTAGCCCAACACTCGTGGTCCGCGCGCGTACACGCTACTCAGTGATCAGCATATATTAATAAATTAATATATGCTAATCACTGAGTAGCGTGTACGCGCGCGGACCACGAGTGTTGCCGTTGGGCTACCTATGTGAAGACATGACTAGATTGTCCAAATTTCATCCGTACGAAACCTAAAATTGCGTGTAGTGTATACGAGGCTAAGAGTGTGTTAAAAATTGATAAAATTAATTACCTCTTTTCCAACATACTTGGTAACCTGCCACATTGCTGGCTTGTGGTGTTGTATATAAGAACATCGTTTAGATATTGTTTGGAGCGATTTATTCCTCCCAAAATGATGAAGTTATCTTTGTACGCGACAACTGCCATATCTTCAACAGCATAAGGCAAAGGAGCTTGTTTCTGAAAATGTGATGTTCCTGGCTTGTAGAGCAGCACATCAGCGCATTCCAAATGCATATGGCTTACGAACGTAACAGAACCAACAAGGAAAATGGAATTTTCATTGACACAAACAACATTATAAAAGGAAAAATCTTCCTGCAGTTCGTAAGAGGCACAAACTTTGGTCATATACGAAGGTTTTAGCAATGTTTCTGATATTGACGAGGCGAACGTGTATATCTTATCACCACAGAGAACCCCTTTGCCACAATTTTCAGGTAGTTGCACGGGAAATGTAATTGAGGATCTATTTCTTGCAGTAGCAAGAAACTCCACCCTGTTAGTACTCCGACCGCCACAAAACATCATTTTGCTGTTGTAAACAAACGAAAACCCACCGGTATGATCAAAGAAGAATGCATCCTTATAGAAAGCCCATTGCTGTGTCGACCAATTAAAGACCTCGCAAGATTTATCTCCACCACACGCTACAACAATCTGCGTGTCGACCTCCATTGGACTTGAACCGACTGAGAGTGATCTAAAAAACACGCTCTGGTCTTGACGGTTCACCTGTTGCCTTTGGCTTTCATTGGTTTCTTTTAATTCTCTACCTGCTAACCGCTGAATTTCGTTGCTGTGCCGCAGCTGTAAGAAAACGATATAACAAATTAATCTTATTGTTTCCTGTACGACTGTGGGATTTACCCAAATAGTGCTTATAAAAGGCAACCAGGGGAAGGTTAATTATAGCGGCTTATACCTATGTCTGCATGTATTAATTTGTCATATCTATCGCTGCATAAGAACTTTAATATAGGATAAACAGAAAGCACACAGAGTATTTAACATTGTGCCGCCGTAACAAGCGATATTAATATGAAATTAGTTCATATAAGGCTACATTGCCTGTGTATGCAAGTCAGTCTTTACTTGTCGTAAATTAAGGATTAATGCCTGGTTTCCATTTAGTTGTAAGTGTCGTGGACATGTAAAGGTGGAAAATGTGATTGAATATTAATTGTGTGCAGTCAACGATTCCAAAGACCGATTTAAATACAAAAAATAAAGACAAATTTAGAAACGGATTATTTCTTCATCGGTTAATATGACTTGTTCACGACAGTTACGATTAAATAGAAACCACGATGAATAACGTATATAAAATCGGGCTTACCTGTTCCGCTTCAAGTTCTCGAAAAATCCTGTGAAGTTCAGTCAAGCTCTGCTTGTTCTTATTAACTTCTTTTAACAAGACACAAGAATGCTTTTTGTATTCTCTTTTTTTCATTACTTCGCGACAATCTCCGCAAGTTAGCGATCGAAATTCGCAGTTCTGTTGATGGCTGACTAGATCTTTCCGATTTAATTGCTCCGTACACCCATCGTAGGAACACTCAACGGAAGCGAAGTCACATTTTTCATGATGAGACAATAAAGCTGCATGGCTTACTTCCGCAGTACAGCCACGACTGGCGTTTAAACAACGTAGTCTAAGATTTTGTTGACGATTCGCCATCGAGCACAATATATATTAGTTCATCAATGTTAATTTCTCTGTCTCCCAGAACCTCAAAAATTTAGGCACACGCGATAATTAAAAAATCAACATTATACAGTTGAGAACGAATTCGCTATGTTGCTAAATAGCAACAGGTCTGGGCATGCACAAGTAATATTTCACGAATATACTTTGTTCATGCATACCATGAATATAATTATAGTGTTTTAAAACGCTGTGGTCTGTTGCCTGGGTTAGTAACTGATCAACAACAGGATTCGCATTAATAAATAATGTTACCTCTCCACGTATATAGGTTCAATCAGGGAATTCAAGCTTCCCGTTTCCGGGAAACGGCGAACGCAAGGCCGAACTTTTATGGCAGACATTTGTTCAATTTCTTCGTTGCATATTTGCTTTATGCGTATCGACATAGATTGTTGCTGGAGTTTTAAAATATCAAGTCCGTTTGCGCTTTATTGCCTTTTAACCTATAAATATTTTCTTCGCTTGGCGTTTGCCTTTTCACTTTTCCGCCCTGTTAGCTATCAACTGAAGCGGCGGTGCATGGAATTGTAACGAATGAATGTCAATATAAATACCTGATATATTACAAAGTATTTTGAAGTGTGATCAGCCTTATAGATCCGGATGACTTGATCAGGTTGTACATGGTCTGCTTCATCTTCAGCGATGTTTTCAGAAGAGCTGTACGCGCGCAATGTCCCATTACTCATTGCAGTTTTCTTCGAATTCACGAGACTGGAGTCATCGTATGATATACCGTATAAACCTTTCACATCTTTTTCGCCCCTGGAATATAGAGTGGAAAAAAAACAACATTAATTTTGCATATCCAAGATAGCGAAAAGTGAAACATTCGATCGTGAATATCTAAAAAAGTTGAGAGGATGATAAAAATCTTTGAACGGACTTGGAAACTTAGTTGAAGGTATTACCCAAATCTTTTTATATCGAGCATAAATATAAACCACATTAGATGTGTCATTGCAGCTCTGATAATCAAAGTGTCTCTATACATAATTTTAGCTGTCCTTTTTATTAACCAAAAGTGCCACCGGAGGCTGGTGCTCCACCCAAATTTCTGGTCAGAAGAAACTTACTTTGGTGAACGTGGTAATGTAGTGAATTTCATGAATGTCTTTTTGATTCGTGTTGTTGCATAAATACCTCCAAATGGATTCTAAAAACAAACAGCTGTATTTAATAAAACGTGCATGTTTATACACGACTTTAGCTAATCTTATTTTAGAACAGTCCACAGAGGTTTGATTTATTGAAAATATTATCATATTTATATGTTGGTTTCAGCAGTGTTAGTTTAAGTTACGTCCAAACTAACACGTTCGAAACGGCAGAACAACCCCGAACAAACAGCAGAGATCGTAGCCAACTAAGGAATTATTCTCTTATCGTATATAGCATGCACATTAAACAGTCATGACCTAGGAAGGTTGCAAACAAAAACTAAGTAAAGAATCGCATACATACCCCAAGTTTCTTTCCGGAATCTGAAAGAAGGTTTATCGCAATTTTAGCTTTAATGCATCATAACATTTAAGCAAAATACATAAAAAAAGGTTTTGGCTGAATTTAGTTAAAAGCCAAAAGAATTTTGCGGAAAATTAATACATAATATATGCCACTGGTCCAAATATGAACAGATATGACGTATAGGTAATAATCTGTAATACGTGTACGAATGGAAAGATTTTTTCTCGTACGCGTACAAGCAGTATTACGTATTGTCAATTCAACCCTTGCAATTACCCAAATCACGCAGTCATATTTATACTATATATATGTTTCTGTGGAGCGTTCTCGTATCGAAATCAGCGACACGATGATATGTGTGTGGCTTCAAGTGACTCAATAATACAGCAATCAACTCTATACTTACAATCGGAGTAATACAAAGGATCGTTACTTCGATGCATGAAACCAAAACGTTTGTCGCAACTGTCGGACGAACTCCTCTGAACTTCATTTTTCTAGAAATAAATGAAACATATAGAAAGGACCTTCCCGCTTGGTGATGCGAACCTTACTCAAAAACCGCACAGTCGCGGTAGCAGTTTTACGTCTATCTCATTATTCAGAATATTTGTAATCTCAAAATATTTTTATTCCGTTTCATTATTCGCTAGCAGCGTTAATTGTGTTGGTAGTAATTTCATGTCCAGAATCCACCAATGTATAATCTTAACTTTAATCTTAAATCCAACTCAAACCCTTCTTACCCAACAGCTAATCCTAAAGGATGAGATTATGGATTGAATTCGTGCATTCTGGACATTGAGTTATTACCGTTGCGCATGGTGGTGGCATGCTGGGCTAGATTTCCTAGCTGTCACAATGCTTATAGTCCACCTTTCGCCACTGCTCCTGCATATCAGTCAGTATATTTTACTTGGGCTTTGCTCAACTATTCCACTTCAAACACATGCAGTCAATATCTCCCTATTGTTGGCTACATGCAGTTCCCTATAAAAGAACCCCCCCCCCCAATCTCTTATATCCTAAAATTTGTGCTGTACCTTCGCTTTTAAATTCGATGTTTTCTTTAGAGGACTTTGTAAAAGTTCTTTGAACACTAAAGATGAAACAATGTTTCACGTTATACATTTGGTTATAATTCAGTACAATACACCTAAATATTGGACATCTTTTCCTTTTATGTAAATCCGATTCTTCATATCTCATAAGAATATTGTTCATATCTCTTGTGACTTGCTTTAATTGCTATTACTGGGGCCAATATTTAGGCAATGGACTGAGTTTAGCACAGGAAATTGAACAATACCAAATATTTTTTGGTATTTTATGGGGTCGTATAAAGGGGGAAAGCTTGCATGCACTTACCAGCGATATTGTGTTTGACACTGATGTTCAAATTCGTCTGACTTTTCAAGATATCTTTTGCCTGGTAAACGAGACTAGTGTTAAAAAACAGAGTGAAATATTTGGACTTCAAATTGACACATCAGATACTTACTTTCGCAAGCGTCATATTTTCAAAGTTCTGACCGTTCACTTCTAGGATCTAAAAACAATTATTAAACATTAACAAGAACAAATTCTGCGAAATTCGTAACGCATTTATTCGCCAACCACTCGACTCGATCACGTGATATGACGAAGATCTCCACTTCGCGTGGACAAAGAGGAACAATGAAGTTAAGACTTTTTAACTGAAATTCACGCTCCATACAAACTTGCCATACCTGATCTCCTTTGCGTAGACCTGCTTGCTCAATTTTCGAGCCCTTCTTTACCTGTTTAAAAAATTAAATGTCGTTACTGATGAAAAAAACACACATGAAAAAAAGAGGGGCTCTTACGTGTTCCTTTGGGAAGAGTTCAGATGAAGCAAAGGATTGTATAATTTTGTGGACTGACCTTAGCAATAAATATTCCAAAGCCTCGGTCTTTCCCCCCGGTGATTGAGAAATTCAGCGACGAGTCTTTCGACGGATGAACCTGAATTGAAAACATACATAAACGTTTAACAAAATACGGTACCAATAGTGAATAGTCGTGGTTGTCACGATTCTTTTGGCGATTTTCTGTTCTATACAACGTATGCTATTAAGTGAATTATGCACACAGTGGTATACACTGTAGGTTTGGCTAAAGTGAAGTAATCACTCTGTTAGGGAGAGATCGTTTAGGGGGGAGGGGGGGGGGGTTGTATTGATACATCCGTGTCAGGAGACGGTAAAAATAATCAATTTCAATAGAAACTAATATTGCTGAACGTGATATTTTCCCCTCCACTTAACGATCTTCAGCGTCCCCCGCTGTCAAGTTTAGTCAATAGCGCACAATACAAACCCTCTATATTTAATGTATACCCATACTGATATACTATGTGGTAGCTAGAACTACAGCTCACCAAGGTAACTTTCCGTAGTCTTGCTTTAGATGAACAAGCGATGTGGAGTAACCGTAGCTGACCGATCATAGACTAAAACAAACAAACAAACAAACGTGTTAGTGAGAATTTAATGAAGAAACGAAAAACAATTCCTATATAGACCAAACTAGGATCTCTGGCAGGAATCGATTCTGCAGCGTTTCAATAAACTGAACAACATATTAACCAAATTATAACCAAATTTATGAAATGTGCTACATTTTGCGATATTCTCAAGCTATATATAAAGCCATGCAATCATGAGGGTAATGTCTTTCAGGGAAAGGTGAAATTCCACCAGACCGATTAGGATCTGAATCTTGTTTCCACTCATATAAACGTTTACGAATTCTTACGTGTTTTTCCAAACCCTTCTCGAATCTATCCAAATGCTTTTCCATTGATGGACTGTCCTCAAAATCGCTGTTGAAATGATTTATAACCCACAACAACATTACTCGGGTTACCTGTGCGAAGTAAATGCAAAATGTAAGTGTTAACTATTAACCTAAAAATCGGCGGTCATATATTGACCCATATACAATGGATGCCCGCTCTTCAATGATAGTACAATTCAAGGGCTTTTCTTTTCATGCAGGGAGTATTAAGAACTCCCTTTAGGGGATGCAAAGACCTGGAACTAGGACGAATCTTTGAATAAAACAGATTTTACTTTGGCATACTGTACGTAATATTTATTCTAACAACAATGGCAATTCTTGCACGAGTAAGGGTTGTTAATTCAGGTCTTGCAAAAACATCCAATCTTAGGATTTTTATTTTAAATTAACTCTTCGAGATTTTGAAACCCTTAGAACGCCTTGAATCGAGTACAAATGTCTAGGTCATGAACCTCACCTTGTCTCTGAGGTCAGGAATGTCGAACCAGTCCAAAAGCTGGGAGCAGATATCGGTTGGTTCGTTGAAGAACGTTCTGTAGGTCAATAGAAAGTCTTCAACGTACGTTGGATCTACGACGGAGTGATTCTCGACCAGGTGATCGACAAGACGCTTTGGTTGGGCCTGAAAACACAAAGAATTTTTCATTTCTGATTGATCGTGATCCATATCAACCAAGCCGATAAATCGACACTGGACTGTTTCTAAGACACTGTGAAGTCGGTCTGTTTCTATTTTGAATGTATTCACAAATTTGTACTTTCATAACAACTAATGTGTTTTTTTTTACATTTTTAACACAGTTTAAATATAGTTTTCATATTTGATACTTTATTCAACACGCCCTTTTTGGGACTATACGAACAATCAGAGCAAGGGAGAGGGTGCCAGATTGATTTTTTAAATACGTTTGCCTTTACGCTATGTGAACATGGACATGCATATAAATTTAAACCGCTCCCCTCATTAACGTGTGTTTTTAGCTAAGAACATGCATCAACAGTATTGGCTCGTAACAGCAGCTGAGCACTTGTTAGCTTAGCAACGCTCTATTAGAGTCATTTCCACTTGAAATTCTTGCCACGATATTTCTTTTGGTAGACGTGAAAGAGTGGTTAGTTACGGATACTGAAATAAGAGGGTACCTATATAGGAAAGCACTCGTGGCTATTCACTCTTTTACTTATATCAAACGCAGCAAAAATTTCAAGTGTAAACGAGACATCATGAAACTGACGTATACCTTGATAACGACGTGACCATGTCGATTGCCGCCATCCAGTGAGCGATACTCGGTTACCACGACAACCTCGCCATTCTCGGTAACCTCGTGGATGTTCTGTTCACCTTGGCTCAGAATACGATGATATTCTGATTGGGGGATGCACACAAACTAAAGGAAAATAGCAACATATGTTCGGAAAAAAAACATAAAGAAGATTTAACATACGTTTAGAAATGCCCTTCGTAGTATAAATATGTCCTTAACTATCCCCTCCTACCTGGCAATCGTCCACACGCGTCGTCATTATCCCCTTGTGATAGTACTGCTCAAGTGTGGGTTGAACACCAAAACTCTCTCCTAAATGAAGTGTTACTGGATCCTGGCCTTCAACAACCACTTCTACAGAACCGTTCAAGATGACACACCAGGAATCGAGCTGAAAATATGTGATGAATAACGCGTTGACATATTATAATCTTTAGGAAGTTGATTACAAAACTTTAATACTATATATAGATGTTAAAGAGATGTTAAGGGAAGCGGATTTTTTAATCCCTTCGGAGCCCACGTTATACGAAGCCCGTGTGTTCGTCCAACTAATAGATAGGTTGGGCTGTTGGGAGACTTTGTTGGGTGACCATTATTGTTGATCATGTGTCAAAACTTGGTAATTAATTCATTTGATATAGTTTTGCTAAAATGAATGTGCAAGAGTATATTTCTACCTGATGCACTGCTGAAGAAATGAAAGTGAAAAAAGTGTAAAGTGCATTACTGTTTATTAATGTACACAAATTTCTTTTCAATAGGCTGCTAATATTATGAATCCCAAAGCTACACAAGCCCCGTGACTCTTATCTGAAAACGGCCAGTCTTCAATGGCCTGAAAATGTCTTTGGAATGAAGACGAAACATCACGCGACTCTGTCTTTAGTCAGATATAGTTGTTTTTTTTAAATATTAGTTTATTTTTTCAGATATCAGTTTTATTTCGTTTTATTTACAAATCAATCAAAGCGGCTTTATATTTTCGGTTGCGTACGGCAACTGGATAACTTCCAATATAGTTGCACCGCAATTGCTTATTAATGCAACAACTGACACTTTTTTAATCACTGCTTATACTAATATACAATCTGTCATTATCTAATTAGAACCTGCTTACACCTCACGCAAGCTCCAGTGACACGTAATCCTTGACCTTGAGCGTAAAAAACTGGCTTAATGCTACCTCTAAAATCTTGCCTCTTTTCACACTTTTCATTTTTAAATTGCATGTTATTTTCCTAAGCCTTATACCAATTGAATTTGCTTTTGAATTCTTCACATGCTAAATTATTAACGGTACCCTAACTATGCTCAATTCTTAGGCAGCTTTAGCAGCGATTACGAGTACGACTTTCAGATTCGTCATTCTCGCGCGTTGCTGCATACGCCACCAGCAAACTTGTACTCAAAAGATCGACCACTACGAGTTCTGGTTGATGGCGTATAAGTAAACAACCCGCGTGAATGACGAATCTCGTATACTCGTAGCCACTGCTAAAGCTCCCTTATCGACTTTGAACAACTGCATGCATGGTTCATATATACTTGTCCAGTAGCTCTGAATGTATATCACGCTTTGGCCATGAAAATCGTCGGGTAAAACGAACTATAATCATAATTACCTGGTCACCATCATTCAGGACAACGATGTTAGCATGTTCAACGACTGCAAACAACATCACAGCACAAAGTTCTCGTCGAATGTTCGTTGTCATGTTTGCAAACGCCTATGGAACATACAAAACAGACAGTTTTAAATCCCATGCTTGCTAAACCATATATAGACTCGAAGTCCACGAATCCCCGCAGTGTTTGTAATCATATATATAGTATACATAAGGATGCAATATATATAGCTAAACTATATACTACTGAAAGTGAATTTTCGCTTCAATATACGTACCGGAAGATGCTGCATGAAATCCATGAGAGCCTCTGAAATGAAAGAGAAGAATTTAGTTTGTGGAAGAAACCGTGTCTTCGAAGATCTGTTACACGTAACGAGCTTTGCTTTGGGATTTTACCAAGAGCAAGTCTGCAGGTGTCGAAAAAAGTCACTATTACGGCAATAGTGTTTTTAAATCATTTGAATTGAAAATGCTAACTTGGATTTTTGTCTAAGGTACGTACGTAATCCTTAATTCAATCATTTTGATGACATATGTTATAATGTAATAAATATTGTTTACTAGTCTAAAGTCATAAATTGTGCTGCATGCTTTTATCGAAAGTGTTGAAATTTTGTATAAAACTCTTTAACTACATTTGGCATAGTTAAATCCTATAGCTAGTTAACTTGGAAATACACGACTCTGATTGGCCAATTCTGTCTTTAACTACAGTTAAAAATTAACAAGTCTTTATACAACTGCATGGCCCCTGGAATTAATGTTATTATTATCATTGGTTGGAAAATGAAAATACGTCATTTGTCATTTTTTTAGCGTATACACACGAGAAAATAAAACTTCGCAAGGAAAACTTGCTCGTCTGTACAGGGCTTAATTTTCTGAATTAATTCGAAAACAATTTCGAGGGAATTACGACAGGAATACTTAGAAATATTCATTAAACTCAGAAATACTAATATTACAATATATTTTCGCTATTATTATGGCATTGCTTACCAATATCGTTTTCGGTTCTTTCCGCTGCGTCCTTCTCTAGGCAATCCCGAACTACATCTCGAACCATCATGGACTATATGGAAGATAATTCTTTACTTTACCATTTGCTTTATATTTTAGACTATTCATAAAATCATCAGCCACGCATGCATATGGAATTTGTTTTGGTCCGGTTGACAATCGACCAATACAGAATTTTACGTGGTATATCCATGTATATGTACAGCAAAAATAATATGCACAGTTTAATTTATTGCGAAAAGGTATGATTTTCTGTTCGCATTGCAAAAACAACATATAACGTTTAAGATGAAACAACGAACAACGAGAACGGACTTTGCCGGCCGTTTTAATCTTTATATTGAAGATGTCGAACTGAAATACAAGGTGTGAAACTGAGATAGAAGGTGTCGAATTGAGATAGAAGGTGTCGAACTGAGATAAAAAGTGTGGAAGTGAGATAAAAGGTGTGGAACTGAGATAGAAGGTGTCGAGCTGAGATAAAAGGTGTGGAACTGAGATAAAAGGTGTGGAACTGAGATAAAAGGTGTGGAACTGAGATAGAAGTTGTCGAACTGAGATAAAAGGTGTGGAACTGAGATAAATGGTGTGGAAGTGAGATAAAAGGTGTGGAACTGAGATAGAAGGTGTCGAACTGAGATAAAAGGTGTGGAAGTGAGATAAAAGGTGTGGAACTGAGATAGAAGATGTCGAGCTGAGATAAAAGGTGTGGAACTGAGATAAAAGGTGTGGAACTGAGATAAAAGGTGTGGAACTGAGATAGAAGGTGTCGAACTGAGATAAAAGGTGTGGAACTGAGATAAAAGATGTGGAACTGAGATAGAAGGTGTCGAAATGAGATCGAAGGTGTCGAACTGCAGTTCTATTTTTCTGTACATTCTACATGTATACGTACTATACATTCTCGCACCAAAAGTTACGCTGAACGGCTCACATGCAGTTTGGAGCTCGAAATCGTATTGATTTTGCAGCGGTAGCGAATAGATAATGCTCCCTATATAATTCTTCCTGCAGTTCCAGACAAAAACCACTCAGCATTTAAGAGCTTAAAGCAATATACGAAAGGTTTTTACCTCGCTCGACGACTGCGACGTCGTTTCATCGTCATCCGAATCAACTGAAACAAAAAAATTAACTATATCTATTATCAAAGATTAGCAGCAGCAAAATCAGAATGGTAGGACCAGCCTATACAAAATTCAGTCAAGCAATTGCTCTATTAGCAAAGATTAGCAGCAAATTAGCAGCAATCGTACAATTTTGAACCTGCCTGCAATATCTTAATGAATTTTAAGAAATATAGATGTTCGTATCATATTTTTATTTGATCATGACGACATGACGAAGGGGAAAAACACCGAAGCTCGACATCCATGTGGTGTATTATTCACTATTTTTTGTCCCCCATCCAGTTGATCTGAGTAAAAGATCTCGAAAATCTTCGCGCAAATTTCGCGCCCTTTGTACTATTAGTGGGAAGAATGGAGACAAATAGCTCTAGGCGAATGATAAATCAGTTTTCTTCAGGCCCCTCATCATGACGTCATGATTTCACATCAGCTGCAGACCCCCTAGCTGAACGCATACATTATAACCGTATTCATGCTCCAGGAATTGTCCGGTACTTTCAACATTAATGTTCGGAAAACCGTCGGATATAATATGTAACTTACCAATGCTTTCAACTAATCCCGAGAGATCCAAATCGAAATCTGGAACAGATCGCGTTTGATTTGAAAAATCTGGTTCTTCAGCGGATCTTAACAACAGTTTTTTCACTTGGTCCAATTCTTGAGGTACCTGTTTTTGAAACAAACAAAAATTGTATTAATATTCTACCAATTCATTAGACGACTTTTTAACAATAAGATAACAGTGGTTATTCACTACCATCTGCAGTAGAACGAAACTGGTAAACGTTCACTGAAGAGATCTATTAATTACAATGCCATTCGTTTAGCTTAGCATGCCAAACTGCGAAAGGCGATTAAAACAGACGCAATAAGGCTTCCTGTATGGGCCTTTTGCTGGGAGAATTTACAGTCCTTCGAACCCTAAATGCTGCGGTCAAATTATTACGACGTGAGATTTCGCAGATCGTGCAGGCGGAATCAGAAATGCTGTTAGGGTTTTTTGTAGAAAGCTGCTTTGAAACTTATCCCATGTTTTCTTTGAATCTTATTCACAAGTACGATTATATGGTTCAAAATCAAATCATGATGAGAGACTTCCGGTCGATAAACGTGTAGTTTAGGAATGTTATTTAACTGCCATTATATTATTGCATTTGTAAATACTGGACGATAAATTGCGACTTTAATGCTGTTTTCCAATTTCTTTACTATTTTTAATTCAGAGACTAATAGAGCAAAAATATAATGAATGCAGTCATTCATAAGAGGTGCACATGCAAGTCTTATTCAATCTTTATTCAATTGGTTTAATCGCTAATACTTTGTCTTTGAGCGTTATTTGGCTTTTCTCACGATGACGAATATGCCGATATTTTTGTTGCACTTTTGTTTTAATCATCGTTACCGTCGAGCAAAGATCATCTAACGGCGATTGTTTCAAATTTTAGACTACACTTATTCTGTAAATGGTCTATTGATTCGAAACTTTTCACAGTGTCATCAATCATTTTTTTAAACCCCGTTAACTTGAAATTGAAATTATCGCAAGTCAGGTGGCGGATATCGTCACCGCAGGAAAGACTGTTCGGTAGAACACAAATATTACAATGTGAATGAACAGCTATATTAATGTGAATGTATATTCGCCTGACTCTTTACAGACACAAAATATAACTCTTATATATAGGCCGTTTCAGACGTCGAACATTTCAGTATCCAAGGAAGGGTGCATGATGTTATGCATGGGGCGGAACATGGGGAATTTCGTTTTAGACCAATCAGAAAGTTTGTTTACATTTTTAGTAACCTAATCAAAATGCATAAATTTTGACTACTTTCGGTTAAAAGGTACCTTATTTACCATTCTACATGAAGTATTAAAATTACAGCATTATGATTGGCTTTAGGTGATCTAGTGGGAAATAGCATGCACAGAAAAATGCATTTAGAAAACCGGCTTTTAACCCTTCTAATTCGATCATTCACATACCAGTCTTTTCGTTAGACTGTTACAACAGAATATACCGAATTCATCGATCAGAGTTCACGTCGAAGAAAACTTTGAACAACATTAATCGAAACGCAGTTTTATATCGTCATAATCACGGATTTGTAGGGGGCTCTTTAGAGGCTAATTGGCTAGAAACGGTGTTGATATGTAACTCGTAACGGAAATTTCCAGCCGTTCTTTGAACTTAAAGAGGTTACTTTGCAGCTCTTTGTGCTACATAATTTAAAGCACTTCCCGTGTTGATAAACAACTATAAAACTCTCATCTAACGAAAAATGCTCTAAATGTATCAAAGTAAAATAGATTTACCTTTTCATCCGGTATGGGTCCTCCAACTTTGACTTCTTCGCTTTCTAAAGCTAACATCATCTCGAGGTCCATGGCCTCGTATGAACGCCTTTGGTTTGGTTTCAGTAATCTTGAGTCAGGGTAATCGATCTAGAAAAGTGTACACAAAATATTATGATTATCATTATTAAAGTATGATTTTTCTAATGAAAAATTATGTCGAAAAACAGTCAAAAATTGAATGGCTTTGACAAGTTAAAAAATGTCGAAAACGGTCCAAAATAGTCAAGAATGTCATTCACAATCCTAAAAGAATATCAAAATGCCGAACGGTCAAAAGTGTCTTTGACAACTTGCGAGTGCTTGTACATTTTCCAAATAGCTTGTACGAATTTTGGCAACGGTTTGGTTATTTTGTGTTAATTCTCTGAAAATGTGCACAAAGAGTGACGTCACCCAGGCCAGGAGGCTTCATTTTATGACATATTTGTATACAATTGTTGAAAAAGCCATGCAGGCGCATAGCTATAGGCTACGATAACGATACCCTGAAGAAATATACGTGAGGTATTTAAGTAAACTGATAAAATTAACCTATGTTCAAGACCGACGATGAGGAGTTCTTACTCCTTAGGATTAGACTATCCCATTGTTTATTTTTCGTCTTAACGTGTATTTATTTAAATTAAGCTATGCACGGCTAAGTAAAATCGAAACGTGCCCAGATTAATAGACATAATAGTATTAACATTGTTTTGTTGATTAAATTCTTAAATTAATCAAATACTGTTATAATTCCAAATACGCTTCTTGACCAAGGTCAAAGAATTCACACGACTCAGCTTTACTTTCATTTTACGAACACAATCGAGGCCGTCACTAAACAACAATTTCATTTGTAATTCAGTTAAAATTCCGTTTGCAAAGATTTTCTAGGGGATTAAGAACGCAGCCTGAAAGGCGTCTTTAGAACTGTTTTTAAGAACACTGTTTTGGAACATTGTATGAGAATTAACAGCGAAAACCAACAAACTGACAGCATGTTTCAGCGATTATATAAAACGAAACAAGGCCAAATTGCTGAGCCTAAGGAGAAACCGTAACCTTTTTCACAACAGTTTTACAATAAATCTTAAGGTCTGTTCACACGATCCAATTCACATCTGAATTCCGATAGATTTTCATAGTCTGTTGACTTGCAGAGTATATGGGCAGCAAATCCACTAAATGGCATACAGTTCTGCCTTACCAATAAGAAACTACATTCCATATGTCAGAAGTTATAATTGGGTCCGACATGTTGGACCGTGTGAACAGGGGACGGTTGTTTAACTTGTTTTCAAACTATTTAACTACGCGTTGCATAGTTAAATCCTAGTTAACTCAGAAATACACGATTCTGATTGGCCACTTCTGCCCTTAACTAAAGTTAAAAGTTAACTAGTCTTTTATACAACTGGCCCCAGGCCTTTAGTATTTAAAAATTAAAATCTCAGTTCCGACTTCCGTAATAACACGGTGTAAATTTCTGTAACCGAGCAATTTTTTATTGTAACAGCGTATTGGTTGTTCCGAAAACAGGGAACCAATCACGTTAAAGATAACTAAACAAATTTTCAGTGGCGTGATCAGTGAATGCGACTCCCCCGATAAAATTACCGCGAAAAACAAACAAACATGGCTGCCAAATTTTGCAAAAAAAAACTCGAAAAAAGTTTTCGTAGAATCCGCCATTTAAGAAAAACATCATGTGAAAGAGAAAAGATAGAGCATTTTCTCTCTTTTATAACTACAGGGAAAGGAAAAAAAGCATAGCTTTTCAAAGGAAAAAGATCGCATATGAACGCAGTTGGTGCAACTGTAGTCCTGTAAGTACTATTCAAACTATTGCAAAACAGATATCGAAAGCGCGCAGATTGTTTTGGGGCAAATATATGTCAATAATTAGACATCTTAAATTTGCATTTTTGATGATTGCTTTTAGCCATGTTAAAATTTGCATAAATGTAGAAAGGGTTAATGTTTACAAGCACATGCATCCAAATAAAAGACAATTCAATTATTAAAACTAATTCAATTATTAGACAAAATTACGCACTACTTACAACAATCATTTCCGAATGCTCCAGAATAAGGCATTCACTTCCACGGCGGCCATCAAACCATAAAGGTTGTTTGCCGAAACTAAAAAATTAATGTTCACAAAAATTGAAACAACTATCAATTTGTCAGCTTCCATTTGTTTACCCCTCAATATGCAAAGCAAATGCCCATATAGACTTAAACTATCTGTGCATGATGACAAACAAAAACATATAAAGCAACACATGCTTCACAGTCAGTTTCATTTTCAGAAACTGTTGGATAAGGTTCAAGCTTAATTAAGTGTGAGTCAGCTGAGCCTTTCTTAAAATAGTCAACAACTGTATAAATACCTGCTTCCAGGAAGATACATGTTACAATCAATAAACACTGAGCCTGACAACAAGATGTACCAACATGTTGCATAGTCATTTTGCCTGAAAATAATGACACTTTTTAAGAAATAATATCCCTGATGTTTGTAAAAATGGGTGTGAGAGGGCTAAATATTTCTACATCAAACCCATACATAGATGGTGAAATCATCTTTTTAGAAAAACAGTGTTTGAAGAAGCATGCCACTTTTAGCGCACAGCCATAGACCAATGGTTTGTAGCTTTGGGCCTTTGACATGCATGCTCAAGTCACTGCCTGAATTTCCAGGTTGATTTCTCCACAACAAGTGAATAAATAAACTCTTTGATTTAAATTATTAAACAGTTCACAGAAATTTCGCTCCACACTTACATGTATAACAAATGGTTGGATTCATGGACTTCATAGCGAGCTGTTTTACACATGGCTCTGTAAATATACAAATAATGCTTATTTAAGGCTACAAACCAGCAAACTAAAAGTTGCGAGTTTGCCAAGAATCAGTTGAGGTATTGTTACTTGAATGAACACTGATCTTACAATTATGGAAACATCTGTCTAATTAAATAGGATTGGTTAGTTGACTAATAAAAGTAAACAATAATTAGCACAAATATTTTTATTATAAAACTGCAGTATTTAGCAAAAACTAGTAACTGATAACAGTACACAGTATTCAAAACGACATTATTCATTTCTAAGCAGTAATCTTTTGAAATGCGAGAGCTAGGAATGGCACATTTGTCTGAAGGTCAAAGTGAGGTGGTGTCACACCATATTTTGTGAAATTCCATTAAATGAAACTCTTCATTATTATTGCATTAAAAGATTATGTAGGTTTATGCTTACTTTATAACTTCGCCTCCAAGACCAGACATAGCCTGCATGCCACGTAAATGCTTCAAGATACATGATAAATCCTAGAAAATAGGAAATATGCATAATTATGGTTACTGTCAATGGTGCACAATGTATCTCAAAAAGCAAAAAAGATTACAGCAAATGATTTAATATTGTTTTCATTCTGGCATTTTATACCAATTGTAGCAAGGGCATCTAAGGAAGCTGGTCATGTATTCTCATATAAAATAATAAAAATTTAGCTGACTTATAATTAAAGTAGTCAATATACCACTTTCGATAGAAAAAATATTGTCTGCTAATGTTATCTTTTCTGCAATAATTCCACTAAATACATTTGCTACATTCTCGCTTGTGAAATATGAACTGATAGTATGAATCTCCAAATTGGTTACGGCTGCATTTAAATTAGGTTCCTGACACTGCAGTGTTTGATTACAAGTTTATATCTGCTTTGAATTAGTTTTTAAATCAAAATTGGTAAAAGTATAGGACTTTGCTCAACATGATTAAGGGAGGAGTTAAAATATTGTGGCGCCTAGACTTTAAAAATGATGTGCACATATAGTTAAATTTGACGCCATGCAATATTTTAACCAAGAGAGGTTTGCTTTTCCACTGGGAAAAATGTCACATAAAAAAGCAAAATTTTGACCAATTGAGAGATGGTGTCTGTCTTTGCCCCTTCTAACAGCAAATGAGTACTAACATTAGATCTCAACATAATATGTAAGGTCCATGTCAAATTGCAATACTTTATTTAATTTGCACAAATTAACCCCATGGATTTTGCACACTTTAGCAAATTTCCAGATTTTAGGGCAATGTAAGACCCAATGAAACAGAAATATCCTATGGCTATACCATAAAAGATAATTCTCAGCAAAAACCAATTTAATCTAAACATATATCTTATTACCACAATGTTATTTCCGCCAGTTTAATGTAATAATTAGATAATTGCGACACAAATCACCCACCTCGTCTGTCCTTGCTATCGGTGGTTTCTTCAAACACTTTATAAAACGTTCACTAGTTTCAGCCATTTCAGATACTGACTCTTGGCTATTTCTTTCGATAAATGTTCATTTCAACATACCATTGTTCGAAAGTGTCAACCTTCGTTCACTAATTCAATGCGAAGTAGACGGACATTTGATTACCAACAATGAATTTTAGAACCCCCGCTGAATTCGGCCAAGTTCTCGCTAACGATCCACAAAGATACTAAAATATTCGCTTTGTTATTAGTCTAAATAACAATTTTTCTTGCAAATTCCTGCTTGCTTTAACTTCACAAACACATTCGATTCATTGCTTCAAAACAAGCTTTCATCCAACCGAAATTATTTCTGCTTCGAAGCGAATCTCTCTCAAAAGTAACAGAATTTAAATATAAGTTCTAATTTAATATTTGACTTTTGCCTTCTGTCAACAAAGCAAAGCGGTTTCTAATTCGACAAGTTTTCGACACTTTTGACAAATACCTCGCGACGCTCGTCTCCTGCCGAAAATCCTTCGGCGAGAATGACCAATTCTCGACACTTCGATGTTAATAAAATTCGCTAGGGATCGCCAAAATATCTTGCACGGCTAATAAGTTGTTATTTTTGTAAGAACGTTCTTCGAATTCCTCAGCGATCAACCAAGATTCGATCTCGGTAATGTCGCTAAACAGACTTCCCGCTAGCCCAGAATCAGTGAATTTCGAAGCTCAAATTTGCTACAATTCCTCGAATCGAACAACGTCCAAATTTTCAGCAAGAAGCCGTTCTTTTTACACCCCGACAAAGATATGGCAGGCCCACTTGAGGAAGGCAAATATATATCCTTGTTTAAATGTTCATACCGCATAAGCTTAAATGGTAAGCCTGCTTCCAAGTGAAATATTGTGCTTGGAGGTCAAGGTCTTCGCATCCAAAGTCGAACACTTTTCGAATCCGATGTAAATTCGCTTTAGAATGGCCACAAAATCCAGAATAAAAATATACAATTTATACAAAATATACACAGCCGGTCACGTGACGTAATCATGCGGAAGGTGGGAGGAGGTCTGGAAGCTATTAGAAAGGAAAAGTTGAAATTGTGAAATGAATGGGAAATTAAGAATTGTAATTCTCAAAAATCATTTAAGTTAATGTTCTATTCTAAGATTTAGTTCAAAATTAACCAGGTTTTGGTTTCGATAACCGCATAACTGCATTTTTACGCTGTTCATTATTTCACGCACGTAGTTTTGGCGTTTGGGAATTAAATTCAGAACTTTCAGCTCGACCAGTCATTTGACTCTTTAATATGTTTGTGTAATTGTATTATATCAAGCTTATTATTTCGCCTAAGTCACATGTAGAAAGAGTGCTTCCGGAAGGATGAACAATATGGGCACAATTGTTGGATTACTTATTACGCCTGAATAATCATAATTTGGCTAGTTCAGGCTTTCCGAGTCCTTTGCAAACGATAAAATTGAATAAATCAATTAGGATTTTTCTTTACCATGTCTGATGTGTGTTAATTTCGAAAAAGGTGCATGTTCGATTTATCTTTCTTGTTTTTTCCGTTCCCTAAAACGGGCCAATATTTACGGTGACGTTAATAACTGAGAAATATTAAAACAGACAATTATAATCGTCGCGTACGTCATTTTCTCACGGACTTCAATTGGAATATGGTCGCGATGATGTATAAATATGGTAAATTGGTTGAGCAGTCATTAAAAAGGTTTCATTGCCGAAAATATACAGGAAAACCTCAGGTCAAAACACCGAGAAGTGTTCCTGCAAGTTTTGGGATTTTTGGACTTTGGTGAACATATTTGATTATTTTGGAAACAGGATTGATATCTCAAGGGGTTGCCAGGTCGCTATTAGGGCACTACCTGGGTATGTTGCGGTTAGCGATGGATTTCCATGAAATTGAATATTATTGGAGGATTGGAAATTAGTAGCGGGCACTGTCAATAATGTACAAAATTTTTGGCTTAAATTTCTCTCTTAGAACAATACAAAATTAACTGAAATGTATTTATTAGTCAGTAAGTGGTTCTCATGGGATTCAGGGGATGGTCGCGCCTTGGACACGGATGAGGTGACTGTGGACACAGTCGACTTGAAAAAAACTGGATCGTGAATCCAGTACCCACGAAAGCGGCTCTTTGGGTTTATACACTATAACCGAATTATATATAGATCAGAGGCACATCAAACTATAATCAGAGTATGATATGACTGAATATGGGGACAAAAATCAGGGGCGAGTTTATAAATTCGATTTCTGAACAACTGAAATGTGCATTCCAGGACTATTTGTGGCATTGGCTTCCACTAAACTTCCTCCCGTGTACTGTAGCATGACATCACAATTAGAATTCTGACCTCACTCAATATCGATGACCTCAGAATATTGATCTCGAAAGCTAATTTTCCCACACATGACAGAGAAAGAATGCAGGCCAGGAAATTCTGCGCCGTTGACAGTAAGGAAAAAGTATTTTCCGCGGGGGCGAATTGGAATGATGGACTAAAGGCCAACACACGGCACGATTTTAAGGCTACTAAAAACCAAAATACTGATTCTTAGTTGATTTTGGAAATTGGAAGCTTAGCTCTGAAAATTGACTCAAAAAAATCGTGCGCCGCATCGCTGTCTACACTAGTGCGTTTTCGTTTGTATGCGGTTTCGCAAGACCGAAAACGCATCGATCGATTCGCGTTCACACTACCGTTTTCGTAGCGTATTCGACTGTTCACACTAAAACGCTTGAATACGATGATCGGATCGTAGTCTGACGTAAAACGGTAATATTCGAGCGTAATATTATAAATTTTTGAGCTATTTTCAAAAGGAAACCTAGACACGTGTGTTTTAAGAAATTGTCGATTATGGCTAGTTATTCGCAGCAAAATAAACCTAAAAAGAATGCTAATAACAACAAGCAGGAGGCGTTCATATGGTAAAAGGCCCAGATAAAATGTATGTTCGTAAGACAGCTATTTGTCTTTGGTGTGAAGCAATCATGGCGTTATACAACGCAACATTTAACTGCAAACAAACAATTATGTCTGCTAGAAGCATGAGAAACTCCATGTCCGCCATGTTTGGTTGGAATTATGCCGCGGATAACTGACTTAAGACCTGGAAACGAGTGGCAATCGATGCGTGTGACGTAATCGTTTTCAAAAGTATCCACTTCAAGTGTTCACACTAATACGATATGTATGCGTTTTCATTTGTATTCACTTTCAACAGCGTATTCAAATCGATGCGTTTTCGGTGAATACGCTGAGCGTATTCGAGCGTATTAGTGTGAACGGAAGGCCTAAACGCATCGAAATGTATGCGTTTTCAAACGAAAACGCACTAGTGTAGACAGGGCCTAAGAGTTTATTACAACCAGCCCCTGGTATAGCGTCCTAAATTGACTTTTCGGATCAAACCTATATGCTTCTCAATTTGGAAATTCGCGTCTCTTTGCCGAATCTTGTTCGGTCTGAATGAACCTGAACATCCAAAGCCGGATTTTCCCTTTAAATGTTCTAAAGCCATTTATATTACCTTCATTATTTCGGAGGCGTTTGTTCTGCTTCAATAAGGTTGGGTGTAAAACTATAGCGTAATAATATTTTAATGACAAGCCGAGAAATACAAATGTTATGTATAGTGAAGATTGAAATTGATAAATATATAGTCAATAGAATATAATATATTAAATGTTTGCAATATGTTTAGACAGTTCATTCAGTTCGTCAGTTTAGACGGCACCAGAGGTGCGGACACTTCCATGTCTCAAAGAACGAGATCCCCGGATGCACAAAACTTCTGATCTGATCAAGGGCGAGTGAGATTCGTTTGCGTAGCCAACTCATGACGACAGTTTGTTTTATATGTTTCTTTGTCGCAATCTTGTCCGGCAAAATCGTAAGGAAATGCTGAGTTGCCCTATCACATCCACCAAATGCGCTGAACACAATTGGGGTGAAGCCATGCTCCACTTAGATCACACTCTGATTGTGATTCTCTCTCTCGCTGTTATCGAATGCGCTTGTGAGGCTCTGGTTTCAAAGTATCGAGGCGTATAATTTGAATACCCTTACGTCAAAGAATGCCTTTTCACATCTCTGCCAAAAACCTTGCGCAGCGATATCAACAGGAACATCATCAGCAGTTTTGGCACTGGATGATAGAGCTTTGCCAGTCGTTGGGACGAGCGCTGGCTCAATGGATACATCATAAGCAACCTCGTCAATGGTGGCTGCCAGGAGATCACGTATCTCATCATGACGACGATAGATGAATCCACCTTTCAAAGATGACAGCGCGTGTTCCACGGTAAATATCTTGCCGCAGGCGCAATGTGATGGTAGCCGCTTCAATTGCCATGCTAGTAACAGTTACAGACTTCGTCCAGCGGTAGAGCAGTCAAACAGATCGACGAGCCTCTCAACTTGCGTTGCGTGTAAAACTTGGAAGATGGAAGGAAAGTGGAAGGAAAATGAAGAACAAAATACAAACCTAAGAAATTAAAGAGAAATCCTTGGCTTACTACAGTTGACACACACCGCTGGAACCAGATGATTTTTTTCAAACTGAAAAATGCTCTTCATAAAATATTTCAGTCCAACAACTTGTCAGGCTAGTTATGAATGCGATTTTTTTATCCTCCGTTATGCACCACTTGCAAAAGCATTTCTCATGGAATGATATACCAAAGAAATTGACATACCAAAGAAATTTCAAAAATTTGCCTCGCGTTGCCAAGTGGCGCACGTGGGTAGTGAGGCTGTGTCCATACAACAAGGCTCAAAGGCCTCGGTCTTCATTGTGAAACATTGCCTAAAAAATAATAAATATTGGTGCTGTTCCCTTAAATTAAAATCCACCCTCTTGCCATCGTTCTGAGGTCCCCGCATCAGCCCTTTTTGCTTCTAAATTACCGACACACAACGATAATATAATTCGCTGATTTTTTTACACACGGCAGCATGACGTCATAATCGAATAGAAAATTCGCCGAAGCATCTGGAACTAGCCTGAACACAAAAATTTTAGCCAGACATTTGTAAAATGCAAATTATCTGCGTCTCCGACAGGGAAAGATTTTATGGAGATTACACGGTCGTGTCGTAAGCGTCTACTGCACACTTCGTCGTGAAATCAAATACATTCTGTTGCATTTAGGAGATCAGATTTGTTTTCTTTTGAAAATTTGAAATAAAGTCGTAAGCTGAAGGTCTCTAAAAGGTCTCGTCAAGCTAAAGGTCACTATTATACACTGAATATGTAGTTGTAGACTGCAGCCTAGTCCATTCAAACCGGTGACGAAACAAAATAAACAGTATCTTGACAAGGCCCTGGATACGAGGTTGGAATTCTGCCTCCTTGTAGAATCACGGGTACAATTTTCATTCGTCGGTTGAAGACTTGAGGGTCATGGTGCCGCGCAAAGCATGCTGGTCAAATATACACGTTGAATACGAAATTGTATACAAACAGCTTGCCGTTGGTGTTGTTTCATGTTTTCGGGACTTAAATCGTTTAAAATTTGATAACAATCATACTAACACTGCGTCATAAAACGAGGAATATAAAGACCTACCTGGGGCCGGTTGTGTCAAGCCCGTTCAGCTTTCAACGGTGGATAAGTGAAAATTAAATAACACTCTTACATCTCTCTTGAATGGGTCAACTTGAATATTATGCACTGAATGTAGTTCTAAACAGTATATTTGTATTAAGGTTAAAAACATTTAGTTTGCTTGTTGAATAAAACCGCAGACTTGCTTCCGTCTATTTTGAACTTAATTAACCGCGGGAGTTTAAGCTAAACGGGCTTGATACAACCGCTCCTGATGAAGTTAAAATGCTACAGCTTTCTACAGAAAGAAAAATATACACATACAAATGATACAATTGTACAATCTGCCCGGCATCATTTGTACATGCACTAAAGCCTACATATCTACCACTATATGTACATACTTGGAGTCCAAAAGTCATGTA